GTGGGGGGGGGGTCTTTTTACGCGGGTTTATTGATAGCCAGAAATTAAGCCCAGTTTGGGTTAATGTAATTTTTTTTGTCAAATTCTACTGAATTTCACCAGGAAAAGAATAACCATCATTTGCTCGTAAAATGTTTGTAATTTTTTTTCTTTTATTGCCATCGTAGGAATTTTCCTGGAAAAGTTCGCGCTCTTATCATGCCGTATATTTAAGTTACAATTTTAAATTACATTATCTTCTCTCGAGATTCACATCGAAATAAAGCAGGGCGTCTTCAGTCGGTCTCGACGGTAGCGCGACGCGACGATGCGATAGGTCGCGCCGATGATGACGGATGATGCAACTATTTGAACTCAACAGTTGTCTGGATTGCATACACACGCAGACTGAAGGCGCGCTGACTTCTCACATTCACAGTAATGCGCGAGTCGTTCGGAGTCGCAACTTTACGATGCTCTCGTCGCAGCTGCGGACTCATCGTAACTGTATTATTTGATAAATGTATGAAATCTGTCTGCAGTTTTTCTTAGGACCTTTTTTTTGGCCCCCCTCCAAGAAAAAAAAAAAATCCCCAAAATTGTTGTTATTCTGATCTTGTTGTTGTGCTCATCTTTTTGTGTGTTTCCTTTCGCAATTCTAATAAAAACTAACGTTTTCAGGTGATAGAGCATCATTCTCACTACAATGCAGACATACGGTTTTACATAGCGGTTCTGCTTGTCCCTCTCATTCTGCTCAGTTGGATCCCTAATCTGAAGTACTTAGCGCCGATTTCTATGCTGGCCAACTTCCTCATGGCCGGTGGTCTGGGCATAACTTTCTGGTATCTTGTTTGGGACTTGCCAAGTGTCTGGGAGCGCCCCCAGTTTGCCTCCTGGGAGACCCTGCCTGATTTCTTCAGTACGACTATCTTTGCCATCGAAGCCATTGGTGTGGTAAGTATTTTTAACTACTCAGATGGATCGACAGGTCCTGGGCTTTTTCACAGATAGATGGTTGAATTATAAAAAAAGTATCAAAAATTATGGGCGTCGAAAACAATGACATTTCCACGAAACAGCTTGTCTGGTATGGACATGTGCAAAGGATGCCAGATGATCGGTTGCCTAAGAAGCAGGTTCTGATTTGGATCTCCCCCTGGCAGAAAACGTAGAGGACACCTTGCCAAATCGAGGATTGATGGACTAAGGCAGGAAATGAAGAGATGCTATTTGCCAGAGGAGCTCTGACAGAATCGCTAACAGTGGCGGTTGGGTGTCGCAGAGCGCACGGGAGTGCTGTAAGAGCGGCATGTGTTAGTAGTATGAAAATCCTCTCTAATCTCAAATCATATTACTCATAATTTTGAAGAATAACGAACCAATTACATATTGCTCTTATTCCTGGAGAAAATTTTCTGCACTTACAAAGAGGGAAATTCTTAGAATTTTTCAAAGTATCAAGTGACCCACATCTAGAGTGCACAAGCTCTTAAAAAAAAAAAAAAAAAAAAAAAAAAAGTATAAGTATAGTTGATTATTTTCCCACCAAGAAATAAATTATGAAGCACTTTGCATCATTGCACACTGAGTTATGTTTTTTTTTTTTTTTTATTTCCTTCTTTCCACCAATGGATGCACTAAAGTATCTTTCTAAAGTATAGTGAGAGCGTGAGCGGTCCCATCTGCATCCCTTCATTTTATATTTTTTTTCCTATACCTTTTTTTCTTTTTATTCAGCCTCCAGCTAAAAATGCATAATAATATGTACCCACAATGAATTACTTTTAAAAGGTATCTGGAATGAGGCGTTGGTATCTGTGGAACTTGCAATATTCCGTCTATTTTTCAGATATTTACTAAGAAATTTGTTGCAAGAAAGGATCTGAAACATGAAAAACTTATTGTCAGTACTAACCTTACTCTGGTATTCAAGCACATTGATACCTTCTAAATTAGTTGGAAACAAGTAATTATGAAGGAGATTAGATGGTCCTTGAGAAAAAAATACAGATAGGTAGGCAAATCTCACTCTTCTAAGGCTATAATATGTGTTCACCCAGCAACTCAAGTGATTTTTTTCTAAATTACACAGATAATGCCTTTGGAAAACGCCATGGAAACTCCTCAACACTTCGTTGGCATTTGTGGTGTTCTTAACCGAGGGATGAGTGGAGTTACGATGATTTACATCTTACTAGGTTTCCTTGGTTTTCTCAAGTTTGGAGACGCTGCTCAAGACAACATCACAAATAACTTGGATATCACACAAATGTAAGCACCGCTCTTTATCAATGGGAAAAATACATCAGAGCAAAGTTGTATATTATTTTTCTCCCAAATTATTTTTATAAATTTTGATACCTAAATGTAAATGAGGTCTAGAGTCTAGATGGAATTTTAAGTTGACCTTGTGATAAGATTTAAAAAAAAGATGTAATATTAGCAAGTTTGGGTCATGAAGAAGCTCTATTATTCCTTCATTTTGACCATTTCATCTCAAAATAAGTTAGTAATACTATTGCTTGCTAATACCCTCAACAATTTCAAAAATTTCGAAAAATTTATGTATTCACTTAGAAATGCACAACATGAGAAACAATTTATTTAAAAAAAATGTATAATCTGATTTTCTCCAGTGTCAATGACTCCTCAAAAGTTTTTCAGGTGAGTTTTAAATTACCTGACAAATTCACTTGCAATTCATATTAACTATTAATATGAGAATAATTGTTCTTCTCTTTCAGAGCTCCTCAAGTTGCCAATATCTTCGTAGCAATTGCTGTTTTCTGCACATTTGGTCTTCAATTCTTCGTATGCCTAGAAATTGGCTGGGATTCTGTCAAGGGCTACTTTCCGAAGAGACAAAGATTCTACAATTATATCGTCAGAACTGTGCTTGTTTCAGGAGCTGGTAAGTAATAGTTCTAATTGTAAGTTTGGAGCAGGGATCATTTCGTACAATATCTTCGCAGGTTCCAGAGACCCACTTGTAAAAACTGGAAGCACCCATCAATAGTCTATACTTGAACCGTTTTTAGTTGTAAACCCCCTGCTTAAGGCACCACCACCTTTGCCTCATTCATATGGGGAAAAAAACCAGGCTTAAAAAATCCTCTAAAACAATTGACTGAAATCTCTAAAATGCTCTCTAAGTCTTCATTGTTATGCCCTTTCATACCTCTGAGTCTGGAAATTATATTCAATTGCATCAACACATTATTAATGCAATACTTATGGCTGCTAAAAATGCTCAAGTAGGACAGGTTGCAATAAATTGCAATTTTGTGGTAAAATTATTGCTATTGTATCGAGGTGTCGTTTTTGTTGCCTATTCACTGATTGAAGGGGCTCCTTATATTGAAATTTTTTGCTGCAAAATTGAAATCGGCAAGTTGCAATTTTTTATTTGATTGCATATTGCCTACTTTTATCTGCATGAAACTTATTTTATAAAATCGACATTCATCAGCTAAATGATTTAAAGAAAAAATTGCAGTTTCATGGTGAAAATTTAATCGCATTAAATTGATTGCAAAATGATTCAAATATTTTCATTTCACGGAGGTACTTGAGTGATAGAAACAGAAATGTGCAGCCCTTTGTTTTCCTCTACCGTAAGACTTGCAACTGCAAAGTACAAAGTTTTTCCTTTGGGCTTTTTTAATATTTGTACGATCTGAACGGCTGTAGCTGCTCATCAATGTGAGTTTCAGCAAAAAGTATGCCATGTTTTTTGTCCTCAAATATATCGAGTCATGGACTCAGTTTTTCTTTTACATTTGTCTCGTATAACAGTCATTTTTCTCCCTGTTCCAGTGTTCTTGGCTATTGCAGTGCCAACAATAGGCCCATTCATCAATCTAATCGGAGCCCTCTGTTTCTCACTCCTGGGGCTCATAATTCCTGTTTTCATTGAATTCGTGACGTATTGGGACGTTGGATTTGGCTCCTTCAATTGGATAGTGTGGAAGAATATCCTAGTCCTCATTTTTGGAGTTTTAGCCCTAGTCTTTGGCTCGGCCACTAGTATCAAAGGGATTGCGGCACTGTATGCCCCGCAAGGTCCTGTGGCTGATGGATTCAACAAGACTTTAGAAAACCTATCAAGTTACAACACAACAAGTGTTTGAATGTGCTACTTCCTTTACTCCATTATTTTCACCAAAATGTTCACCGGGTGCCTAATTTAGGTCTGTTAGAATTGCATGTGTCCATGAGCAATTTTCTAAGTTTGAATTTTTTTTTCTCAGATCAGTTTTTTCGGATTTAGGTAGCTTTAACTCAAATTTTATACCCTAATTAAAAAATTCTGTTGTCTTTTTGGAATGCTGAACTATCATACTTTAATTTAAGTTGTGTGAGGGGTATAATCTTTTTAAACCTTCCATCCACCCTGTGTCAATGAGCTTTGCACACCCTTTTTTATTAAGTTCAACAGAATAATTGTTTTCCTTCATATTTTTCTTTACCAGTGAATTTTACTAAATTCGGCATGTCAGCCCTTCTCAAATCTAAAATTCGAATGAAAGACTGGTCTGAAAGCTTTTGTTTCTTCATTGTAATCGACACACAACAATAATACTAGAACAGTCATCATTGCACATTGAAAACATGTGTAAGTCATCTCAATTAAGGGTTTTCCACACTTTTTAGGAAGCGATTAAATGATGCCTTAAATTATCAAGGGAAATCAGTGGCCATTCTATGAACATACTGTGATAGCGTTTATATTATTTTGTGCGCTGAAGCCTGAGTTTAAAGAGCTTACTTTTTTTATCATGAACTTGAGGGTATACTTAGCAGCTTTTGTCAACTTATTTATTCTGTTATTTTAGGTTGTACATACTGTTATTTTTTTCAACAGTAATTTTCAATCAGCGTACTTATAACTCGTTGTCATTGTTTTTATTCTTTATTTTATAAGATTGCTGTTATTGTTGCATTTTTGTCCAGAAGCATATCATATCCTTAATTTTTGTTCAAACTGGAGCTTTTTAGCTCTTTGAACTTCAGTTGCTGTTTGCAGATTTTCAAAAGTTTGTATCTAAGTTTTTATCCGGCGAAAGTTATGTACTTATTTATCTGCACTCTTTATTGTATTAACAAGGTATCATTTTTGTTTCTGTCAGTTTTTAAAACATTTTGTTGAGTAAATCTTTTATATTTCTACAAATCTAGACAGTAATGGATAGTTGATTTTACAAAATCTTTAAATAATTTATTTTTGCAGTATATTTTTTTCCTCTGTTTCAGAGTTAAGTTCAGTTTTTTTTCTTTCCTTCTATGCAAGGAATTGAAGTACATATTTTTTAAGAAGGCCATGAAAAAATTTTAAGTAAAAAAAATTATAAACTGCAGATTTTCAATTGTCTTCTGTAAACATTAAAGTTTTCAAAAGTTGCTCTCCATGGTGTCGGCATCTTTTTTTTTACTTTCTAAAGTAATTTGTGCCTTTTGTTTCTTTTGATATATGTACTTTTTTCTGGGAGCATTTGATTAATATGAATGAAGCATGCATTGCATTGTTATTGTTTATCATCTCACTGGCTGCCGCACAGGCTATGCTAATTACACCTCCCAGAATACCTATTATGAAGAATTGGTGAGCAGCAAATAACTCATTTTTATTTGATATCGTTGCAGGATAAGATATTTTTTTTCTTTGGTATCACGGTATCTTGGCACTATGACATGCCCTCAAGACAGCCTTTCATACACATTTTGTGTCTTGCAAGCAAGCTGTATTCATTTTTGAGCAATTTTTATTACGTCACTTTTCATGAGCCTCAGAGATAAGTGCTGAAAAATTATGACCGTCACTGTTGATTTTTTTCTTGGATAATTTTCATCTTGGAAAATTGTACTGTATTATTCATTTTCTTATTTTGTAATACCCTATTTTATTTCTAGACATGTAAGTCATTGAGCATTTTTATGACCGTACTCATAGTTTTTAGTTTTGTACCAAGACGTCAATTTCCTCTCGCAAGATTGTAAAGTTTATTGTCCTTTAGTCTTTGATGAGCTGTTTTCCGTTTTTGGTGCTGAATTTGCTGTATAAAGATAAGATATTTTTTTTGTTTTATTTTTTTAATAAATTGGTCGTAATTAGTTAGTAGTAGAATATCTACCTTGTATTTATATGATATGATTCTTTGTTTCATCAATGCATAATAATAAGTAATGATAAAATTACAGAATTTTTTTTATAAGGTTTATTTTTTCAATTCAGCCAATAACACGAACTGTTGTTTTACTTTATCGATTCTTTCCTTCGTTCATCTCACTGCTTTTGATTTGGATTGTTTTAGCTCTGAATAGCATGTTCCAGCCATATCTATTTTCAAAAGAAATGAATACCTATTAAATTTCTCATGTTTTGTCTTGTTTCAAAGGTCAATTCAGTGCCTTTTGGATTCTTTCTTTCTTTCTTTTTATTTTTTGGCACACTTGTAAATAAACCCTGAAGCAAATTCAAATTATTTTTAGAGATATGTTGCAGTTTATTTAATTAGATAGATTTGAATTCAGTGCTGTTGACTGTCAGTTATTCATTTCTGTTATTTGTACATTTTATCATTTCATGTATATTCTTGAATTTAAAAAAAAGACAAATTATGAAGTCGGCTTTGGCCATCTGAAAGTTTCGTTTCTTTCATTATTTTTTATTTTTTCGTAATGTCAGATTTTTCACTGGAATAAGCTATCTGCTGCCAACTTATTTCCAACCATATAATAAAGTTTTGAATAATTATGTACCTCTTGTATCATCATTGACTCTCATCTCATCCCTTTTTGTCAGAATCATTTAGTTGGATGGCAGATCAGCCAAACGGCTATCTATATACTATACAAAGAACTTCGACGCCGGCTAAATTTCGAGATTTTTTTTTCTTCAATGATGCTCTCTATTGTTTCCTGAGTACTATAAGCCTTTGAAATGAAATCTCTTTTGTGCCTATTTCTAGGAAATCGCGTCTGAAAGGTGCATTGCTCAGTAATTTAACATGTGATATCATATAAAGAAATGGCAAGGTCGCTGAGTTGAAGATGGGATTGGGGTTTATTTTTTCGAATGCTGTCCGTTGTCCGTCTTGTCTCCCCGGCCAGCATGAGACAAGGGAAAACAAGGTTACTCCTTGATCACCTGTATTTCCTTATTCGATGAAGCGTTTTTAACTGGCGATAAGCGCACTTCTCAGACCCCATTTCCTCGAAATTGCTGCGTGGACAGTTTGTTTTCAAAAGGCCTTTATTCAGATGGTCATAAGGAACATCATATCAAAAAATCTCGAAATTTCACTGAATTCCTTAGCATTTTCCTTCAGTTTTCGAAGAATAATTTTTCCCCCCAACAGCTGATGTTATTGAATCAAATTTTTAATTATAAATCTAAATCGGTTGAGCCCACTCTAAATAATTTTATGCACTTTTAGAGTGCAACAGAAGATAAGCTGTCTACAGTTTAGGGTTTAAAGTAAATTTAAAAATCAATGGCAGATTTTTGCAAATTTTTGGTGCAGTCTAATAGTGCACAAACTTATTTGACGTGGACTCTATCAGGTATTTTCTTGTCTCAAGCATTAAACGTGTTTTGCATTTGTGTGCAAGGCACTGAGGACTAAGAGGAATCAAGTTAACTGACTTCATACATCACATTTCACAGTGGGACTGTCTGCTCGGTTTTTTTTTTTTTTTTTTTTTTTTTTTTTTTTTTACATTGATTCCTGGGGAGTGTGTCAAAACTGAGATTAACCTCATTTAATTCTGTTTTTCATTGAAGCAAATAATTTCTATGAAAACGACTTCTGAGGTTGCTAAAAGTGCAAGAGTGTCCAGTTTTGCATGATTCTTCTTCAATAAAAATATTTTCTGGAAATTTCATCCAAACGTAATGTAAAGTAATCTTCTTTTACAAAATTATAAGTCAGAATGGTAATTTTGAAACACTAAATCCAACTATATAACCATCAATGATAAAAGGTGCCCTTTGTACCAAAAAGCACAAATTATTGCGATAAATTGCAGAGGAGGGCATTTTGCAAACATTGCGTACAGCCATGAAAATTTCAAACCAAATTGGATCTACAACAGAAAACGAACTTGCAATTTAAGAATGTAGTTTTAGGTAAAAATCGATTTCAAGTTCTAATATCCGATGCTCAGCGCTCAAAATTGTAAGATTTAAGCATAACTTTCTCCGCTTGAAACTGCGGAGAAAATTTTCCAATGAAAATTTGACAGTATTTTCCCAGAGTTCTTTTCTCCAGGAAGTCATAATAGAATCCTTGCCATGAAAGACAGCAGTTAGTCGAAATACTTCAGCTTCTCTGAAATTTTATAAAAACGCTACATATTAGCAGAGACACATTTTCCTCTGATTGACCTCGGAGGCAGTATACCTCAATTGAATTGATGCCACTTGCGTTCACACACTAAGTATTCAATTGAATCGGTCATTCTTAAAAAGACTTTAAGAGCCAAAAAAGGATCTACAAGAGAAATGGTAATCATCATCTCAATTGACCCGTTCTAAATCTCAGAGCTCTAAAATCTTAAAGCAATCAATTGATGATAGACATTCCCAATTAATCTGCAGTTTAAAACGGGTTGTTTAATGCAGTTTCTACTGTTTGTATTTTCATATTTGGCGCTGAAGTTGTATTGAGAATGAACGAACCCATTGGAATGTCATATAAGATCCGCGATCTTGGTTCTTGTATTTAATTTCTATCCATCCCAAACTGAAGATAGCTATTCTTCAATCGCTTTCTAAACCGCGAAAACTTTGGGCATGGACTCCTGCAAGCATTTCCAATTTTACGCTCGTCTAGATCACATGCGCTTATTCAAATTTCCCGGTTTTGAATGGTCGCTAAAAATCTTAGCAGGGTGGCCAATTACGATGTTCAAAGTTCAGCTCAAAGTTTAATGATAATTGACCTCTTTTCATCCTTTTCTCACGGAATAAATACTCAAGAAGAATTTCCAGGGTATTTTAACTACTTGATACCTTTAAATTACCGTGAAATTCTCAAAGATCGTTACTGATGTGCTTCCTTTTCCAGATATCAGGTTTCCCCTCCCGTAATTTCCGGGCAATTTTTCCCGCGCCTTCATTTTTAGCGTTTCCGGTTCATTTCAAGCACCATTCCTTGTTTTGCGGATGCACGTACTTTGAGGTTATGTGAATGTTTTTATTTGCATACGCTTAATCATGCAAACCCTCCCTGTTCTGTTTTACATTTATACTCTAAACTTTTTCTGCTAGTGATCAATTTAATCCTCCTTTAATATACGGTTCTCCAGCGTACTCTAGCTCCAGCAAGTGTCATCAATCTAAACTGCCTGTCAGCCTCATTAATTTCGCACTGAAAGGAAGTTTCTCTGCTTATTGATGAGAAAATCGTAGCATGACCAAGTCATTAAATTAGCTCGCTTTCAGTTTCCTGCTGCAGTTTCTAATGATTTTCTTGTGAGTAATAACTTTTCATTATCATTCTCTTGTTTAATTTACCTGTCTCCTATTGATTTTTAAAGCTGCACACCAGATTTTGTAACATCGTAGAAACTGTTGAGTTGTAAGTGAATGAAAAATTAATACGCAATGCGGAAGAGAGGTGGTTACATGTGGAAGGGTTCATTTCCTCACAGTTGGAGTATAGAATCAGCATGCTTATGTTAGTCATAGAAACTGCCAAAGTCCTGAAGTAAAGTTCCATGGCTTGTACATGACATACTCTTGGTGTATGAAAGTAGAAGATGGCGCTTACTTACTAAAATATTGTGCTCTCCAACTGATTTAGTTTTGGGATGTAGCAAAGCTCAAAGGAAATAACTGGATCCACAACGAAGGATGATTAGAAATATTTATTCACAAGATTGGAGTGACCGGTAGGTATGAGGAATGAGAGCTGTGGCACCAGACTCATTGTCAGTAAACTTTAAACTTTGACTCAATGGACCGAGTACCGAACTACTCAGTAGGACAAAATTATGATGCAATAAGCAAGGACTCTGCAGCCTACTGATCCTTGGTGATGGCTCTTAAGTTTCACGTTTAGTCGACCACCAATACATTGAACCAGAGCTAGCTGAACTGAACTTTGGCCTGGGATAACCCTCAAATCAACTCGTACACGCCGCCCAATCCATGTTGTGGTTCCCTGTTGTACTGACTGTAAAAATTGCAGTGTCTCAAGTCTCTCTGCATAGCTTCAAGTACATAATCCAAGTGAACAAACAATTTCTCATAAATTGTTTCTATGTATTATTACACACAACCAATTTTCCATTTGTTAAATCTAAGTAGTATGAAAACAAATAGGATTATATTTTCTAAACTATAAATATCCTAGGAAAGAGCCTAACAAATTATGTTGCTGAACACGCTTTGGAGTCTGAACTTTGTCCCTGATGTTGTAGCTACATTTTAGATGGCTTTGTATGTATTGTAAGGAACAAACATAGGGCCGTTGAAGCATTTAGATTTATTTGTTAAATTCTCTCTGTTCTGTATTTTTTGACACTTTCAAACAGATGTGTAAGTTTATGGATTATGTTACCTAATTGTTAGTCTCAATCTCTAGATGTGGACTTGGCACCATCATTATTCCAAAGAAAATGACCTATTCATGAAGTATTCACTTCAGTTCTAACAACTTTGCAGGGAAAGGTCAAAGCTAACTTTTACGTAGAATGTTTTCAGCACAGGGGAACAATCAGGGTGTCAGTTGTGAGAGGAAAATTAAAATTTTGGGTAAATTTGCTTTGGTCTGTTGGATAGTTGGAGAATTGAACTTCGGTCAAAAATAGCATTATACATTAAAATCTGTATTATGTGACTGTATTCAACTCTGATTTCATTCAATTTTTCTATTTTGTGTTGTGGTATCAAAAAAGATTTGGCAAAAGTTAAAAAAAAATTCTCGTAATAGTGAAAGGTAACCTTGTAATTCCTTTTTGCGAAGGAAAACATCAGTTCATTTCAATTACTTCTTGTGTCACTAAAGAAAAAGATTTCTTTCCTTTTTTGACACACTAGTGCATATTACGCTGTACTTGGCTTCACTGCAAAATCTAAAGGCAGAATGCATTTTAAAGCTTATTTACTTGTTCATAGGTTCAAAAGGAGAAATTCAAGGGCACCCCAGAATGAAGCTATCAAGACAAAGGGATGTTATCTGTAACTAACAGCGACTGGCTTGTTTTTCTCTCGTTAGTTCTTGTTTAATTGCACTCATGCAGGGGGATAATGACTTGCTACTTAATGAATACTATGTCTACGCCAATAAGGAGGTGGAGCACAACAGATGTTGCGGAGGTCTCCTGTGGTGTATCAAGGTATGAGTTGTCTCTTTTCTTAGCTTTAATTAGTCGAGCTGAATCTTGAAGATTGAGTTTTTGCATGCAGCAAAGATGTCAGAAGCAATGATAACTTTTTTCGAGGAACGTTGTAGTACGTTGTCACTGGCATTCTCTTACATCATCCCTAAGCTTAAATATCACCCTCGAAGTTGAGGTTGTAATCTCACCTTCAAAATGGTATGGTTCCCCATTTATGCCCAAAACTATTTTTTTAAATTGATTTTTTATTTACTTGTTGTTTTTGGCGTTATGTAGACAGGGTAAACACGTGTTGAGGCACAACAAAAATAAAATAGGCTTGCTTATATCCCAGATATGGATTATCCTGTGTTGAGCACATGAAATTCCCTAATTTACACTAACACTAAAAGTCAAAAACTGCGATGGGTCGTTAACGACCCAATGGGCATATATGGGTAGGACTAAAGTCCTCAGTTGTGTTCAGTCATAGTCTCTGTATAGTATAGAGCTATGTAACATTGTATACATTGGCAGGGTTTGGCTTAACTCTGAGCTAAAAGTTGTCATCTTGAAATTTAGATTCCATCAAGAGTGGCACATCTGCAGATTGAGTCAACTCTACTTGTGCCATCCTGAGCAAAAAGTTCACATGTGCACAGGGGTTCCACTGGAAGTATGCCGTTTTTTCATAGCAGATTTGTGCTCAGGGAGTTTGAATGACTATAGTGATGGACTTTTTAGGACAGGTTAGGGGTCCTCCATTAAAGCCTTTAAGCCAGTTTTGAGCTTGGGGTTTCGAAAATCCCTGCTGCGTGCAAGAACTCTATTCTTTCATTGAAATGATACTTAATGTTTGCACCTGTGGTTGCTGTCTTTTTCAGGGTTTTACTTGTCTCACAGTGTTCCTAACTTTTTCGTCTATTTTTTTTTTTTTCAAAGAGCAACAAGTCAACTGTACAGCTTGAAAGTTATACAAAATATACTGTAAAGTGAGAAATAAAATCTAGAAAGTTTTATAGGTATTACATTGACTAGTTTAAGTACCAAAGAAAAAATAAAGTATTTATGAGGTAATCTGCAATGTCACAAACAGAGATACGCGGTTTCGCTTTTTGGCACTTGGGCCATCGATATATGTGTGAATAATAACAATTAATCAGGTCTTATGGTTCAATTGATATACTATACTCTAATTTTGATGAATTTTTCAGGACATCTGTGGGATCATCTGCGCCATCCTGACTTGGTGCCTAATTATGTATGCGGAGTTCGTTGTTACCCTTGTTATTCTCCTGCCAAGTCCATATCCTGTGTACAGTTACATTAATTTGGTCATCTTTCAGATATTTACTTTTTTAGCCTTTGTCTCCCATTTAAGGGCTATGTTTACAGACCCGGTAAGTTTATTTTTTCTTCAGATAACACCACCTTTGGTTCTGATTCCTACGAATTGCATGTTATTAATGATGCTAGTATCATATCTCAGACTGCTGCTGTAGAAAAAAATTGAATTTCGGCTGGTTCATGATAAAAAAATGTCTTTATTGTAGCTTCAGCAATTATAGAAATGTACAATTGCAAATACAAATACTGAGAATACAGATTGATTTATGAAAACCATTTGGACGGAGTTCAACAAAAACGAACTGAGCTGCATTCTGGAAAAAATTAGTTTTGCATGGCGTAGAATTCAGCTAGTTGTACATTGTCTCCAGGCAGTATTTTCAACATGAAAACAATCATTAAACGTTGTCCTCAATATTGAGTCATATGGAGAAATAAAACCTCAAACCTCTTTTTCTCAATTGTGATTTGGTACACCTCTGTTCGACTCGATCCATTTCAAACCAAGGCTTTTTGTCATCTTTGACTGAACAAAGTAAATTAAATCATTTTAATTTTAATGATCTGAAATATTCCTATGACCCAACAACAAAGTTAAATCCGAAGATTTGATTGGAAGGTTTTAAACCAGTTTTTAAAAAAACGAATATTTGCAACTTTGCCTCTCACGAAACTGTTTTGATACTGCTGTCTTCATGTCTCTTACTTTAATACATGTGAAAAAAAAATTATGTCGAAAACTGAAGGTCATTGAAATTTGGCGCTTTGCATTTCAGTTTATGTTCCTCACAAATTGTATTGGACCGATTTGCTGAATTATTAATTCCATTGATTTATACAGGGTGCTGTGCCAAAAGGGAACGCAACAAAAGAACTCATACAACAGATGGGGTTCCGCGACGGGCAGCTAATTTATAAGTGTCCAAAATGTTGTAGTATTAAGCCAGAAAGAGCACATCATTGCTCTGTGTGTCAAAGGTATGTTTTTCGGATGTTCTTTATTTTCCTTTTAGCCCTATATTATTCTTATTTATAAAAAATTGCACAAAAGCTCTTATAATGAAGGAACAATCGCACTAGCCTAAAAAAGCATTAAACTTACAATTGATGCAAGAGCATTTTAATTATTAACTATGGTTCACACCATAATTAATCATGGTTCATATTCTATTGCCGAGGAATGTATCAACTCTATAAAAGGCCTCTCTAAGCTGAAGCTTTATATTTTCCCTATGGATCAGTTCTCGTTTCATGCAAAATGCTTGAGTAAAATTTGACATGAAATATTACCGAGAAAGAAAAAATGTCAGTTCAATTCCATCTCACCTACAGCATGTTTTAGTACTTTATTTATATTACTTTTGACAGGCAGCTGACTGGTTGGCTTAAAAATAATGATTAAAAAATGAATCGACGTTTGCGAAAACGTCCGTTGTCCAATATAGGGTTTCATAATTTCGGTGGGTTTCTTTTGTCCCTTGACACTGATGAATAGGATCGATCTGTTTTGTAAATGTTTAATCACACTCAGGGGATGATTTATAAAATTGTTCTATATTCCTAACATCTCAAATCATCTTATGTCGTTAATTTATAACCAAATAGTCCACTCAAATTCTGGAACACTGTCTTGGACATCGGACGTTTTTGCATGCATCGATATAAATCGTTTCATTAGCCCGTCTGAAAATTCTCTTGCTGCAAGAAGCTTCTCTCGCTCCAGTTTCCTTCATGTCTCCATGAAATTAAGCTTGTAGCTTATTAATGGTGAAACTGCAGGGGCGTGTATCTTGTTTGTGGATTTTAAAAATCTCTGCTGCCATTTTATTTATTTCTTTATTCCATAAATAAACGCGCATGAGCCTACTCAATCAAAATTTACAAGAAAATTACAGAAGAGAAAGAGAATCATGGAGATGCTCCTATGTGCAGTAAATGAGGAGATAACAAGATAAGAAGGCCTAACCTTCAACAGACATTTAAATTACAGTGTAAGGGCATCCAGAAAAACAATAAGCACATTAAGGATTTCCACACAATAGGAAGTTTTGGGTTGCAAAGGGGAAAGCTAGCAAAACCTTCGAACCCTCAAAAACTAATACTGATACAAGTGCAGAGAGTAAAGAAGTTTTTTTTTTTTTTTTAAAAATTTAAAAAAAAAACTAATTTTTTTTCTATTTTGTGTGCATTCAAGGTGTATAAGAAAAATGGATCACCATTGTCCATGGGTCAACAATTGTGTGGGTGAGAACAACCAAAAATACTTCGTTTTATTTACGGTGAGTATGAGCCTTTGCCCTTGTTGCTTTTTTCTGATTGGAATTTAATGGGAAATAACCTAAGTTTACTTTCACACTCGGTCATTTCTAATGAAAAAATATCTTCGAGGAAGAACCTGAAAAAGAAGGGTTGATCGTTACTTAGTGTTTTACTAAATAGTGGAGATTACAATTAGTAGTGCTAAAGGGTATGAAAAAAAATGATTAAAAAATAAAATTAACCAAAATAGGTTGAACCAAGATTGAATTAAGATGAATAAGAAAGGAAAAAATTTAGACTCATGCGAAAAAAATGGGCATGGCCATACATTGGAAAGTCTACCGGTGTACAAGGTCAGGAGCAGGTGGAAATTCCAGGGTCGACCTTAGCAGGTTTTTTTGGAAAAAAGTTTCTCGAGATTTGCCTGTTTGAGAACGCAGAGCATTGTAAGGTTCAGGCTCTTGATCGTTGACAAAGGACCTCAAGCTTGATGATCTGTTACCTGCAAAAGCTTGTTGCAGGGACTGAAGGTACAATGCACAGGCTGACAGATGTCATTTTTCAAACCCAATTTCTTGAGATAATGCTCATTTGTAGTTAAATTAGCGTCCGTGCACTCATGGGCTTCAGTTAAATTTCAAGACTGTTCAGTTGCGACTTGAGAAATTGTAAAGAGTTTCTAATCATAGCCTATCATGATGGATGTCTTCAATATTAATCTCTGAATCTCTGCGAATATCTCTCTCAAATAATGGGAGGAAAATAATGTTCTGTTCGTTAATCCTTACTTTAGGTACAAATCAAGTTTTACCTTGTTTCACTAGCTTGCATAAGCATTGATTTCATACTATAAAGAATCACCTGTAAAGACCCTTTCTGACTGGTTATCAGTTGATAAATCTTCAAGCAAAATGATTTTTTTTTTTTTTTCAGTTCTACATCGCTGTAATATCAATACATGCACTGTTTCTGTGTGTGAATCAATTTATAACATGCGTGCACAGTGAGTGGCGGGAATGTTCATCATATTCGCCTCCTGCCACTGTTATCCTTCTTCTGTTCCTAGCGTTTGAGGCATTGCTCTTCGCCATATTCACGGCTGTTATGCTGGGTACACAGCTCCAAGCTATCTGGAATGATGAAACTGTAAGTCTTTCAATTTATCAGGCAATTGGTCATTAGGCAAGGTTTCAACCAGAAAAATGTCTCGAAATCTTATATAAAAAACTATTCTTGCAACAGGAAATTCGAAAATAAATTTCTAAACAAGATATTTACAAGTGCTTTTAAGTTGTAACACAGATCATAAAAAAGTAAAATTATACAAATGACGTCTTTTAAATCAATGTTACCTAATTAAAAATATTTATATTTTGTTTTGGAGTTGATTTTCCAACTTTTCGCAGTGTGACTCGTTTTTCCCGTGAAATTTTGAAGGGAAATTATGTCATGTAGTGCTTTCATTCATATTTTGTCCAGAGTTTCATTGAAGAGGTAGGTGCAAAAAGGTCCTCATCCTAAAAATTTCGTTCAGAGAAAATAGCTTTCAAAGGTTCAGATTTGTGCATTCGGTTTGGATGGGACAAAATTTTTTTGTAGAAATATCCATTAGAATGTGAAGAATGTGGAAGCTCTTACGAGTCCTTAGTCCTTTATAACATCGCTTTTAAGTTAGCCGTAGACCGTTTTATTCCCATCTCCTCAACACATACGGTAAGCCAGATTCACCATTTTGATCATTCTGAATGTTTCTGTCTATCACCCAATGATAGTTGTCGAACGAGAGATGGGATAAACTCTTGAAAGTGCAGGGAATTTTTTTCTTTGCAGGTCAACTTTTTTAGTAAGAGTTTTTAGTTAGCTTTTGAATCTGCTTATTTCCGGCTCCCCCACGAAAACTTTCTTGGAACTTGTGCAGCACGAACTGTAACTAATTGCTCATGTACTTATTTTTCTTTATTTTAGGGCATTGAACAGTTGAAAAAGGAGGAAGCTCGATGGGTTAAAAAGTCTCGGTGGAAAAGTCTCCAAGCTGTGTTTGGGCGTTTTTCGCTAGCATGGTTCTCACCATTCACTAAACCTCAGGCAAAACTGAAGTTGGAAAACTACCTCTACTCAGTATAAATGCAATGCAATCCTAAAATTATTTTTTTATAACTTGTTTATTAGCCGTAAGTCTTGGTTGAAAGTAAAATACCTAGTTTTCAAGAAAAATTTGAAAGCCTGTAAAGCAACTGAGTGTTACAAATTGAACTTTTTAGTTAGTATGTGGAAATGTAAGAAACACAATATTGATGAAGAAATGGGTCAGGTAATGCTAATCTTACTTGTGTTCCTACCTCAAGAAGTTATTGTGTGTAGGGGTTGTAAACTCTATCAGATGTCTATCCCGGAGGGATTTTTTGTATTGATTATTCTGTTTTATTTTATCAGCATCTTTTATTGAACATTGATGTTAATCAACGCACGCATGAAAAAAAAGAAGAGTTATAGAAATCTAGGAAAATACTCTTTTTCAGTGATATTTGATTTGTCTGGAACAAAAACTTATTTACTACAACTAACGTAAGAGACTTTGATATTGTCCATCCATCAGATTAGTCAGGTGCACAATTATAAAGGAAAGTTAAGATTTTTTCTCAAAACTAAAAACTTGGTGAGAATTTATTCACTCCCAGTTTGGTCGTAGGTCGATGTCACAAAATATTTTTGCCCTGCTTAATCGAATTCTTGGTTTTGGACTCCTTTTTTTTGTTATTTTTTATTCATTATTTTGGGGAGGAGGGGTTAGATCTTTAGTTGTCAAATTGGATATCTTCTCGAGAGTGGCGCTGTCAAGTATTATGCAAAGCAAAATTGTCACAAAGACTGGGTCATAAGTAGCAACCTCAGCCTTTGAAAAAACAGTCAAAGATGGTTATTGCATGGGTGCACTTTAGTCACAAAAAAAAAAAAAAAAAAAAAAAAAAAAAAAAAAAAAAAAAAAAAAAAAGCTTTACAATACATTTGGATGCATTTAAATCAAAAGGAACCGTATCCATTTTGATGATCCTTGAAAATACATTCATGACAGGGCTCATGTCAGAATAAATATGGTTCTTTTTGATTTAAATGCGTCCATTTGTTCTGCCAACGATTCATAATTCTGGTTTTCCAAACAGCATCTCTCTCTCTCTCCCTCTCTTTTTTGATTGTTCTCACAGAAGCTAATGTATTTTGTAAATTCATGTGCAATCACTATCTGCTCGTATTGCTTTGCCACTCAGTGTTGCTCAAAGCAAAGTTTGACCAGGGATTAAATCCAGAAAACGGAAATGGTAATGATTTTGCGGAAAAAAGATTGAAGATGGTGTGCCAATGTTGTGTTTCTAATTTTTAATGATTTAGTAGCAGTTGTGACTTTTTCCTAACTGCATCGAAGCAATTTATTGCACCTTTGATAAAACAACTACTTCCTCAGAAATGAATGGGTTTATTTTTCATGGGTCAACAATCTCATTATTTTAAGGGCTTTTAAATTATTTTGTATTATCCATTTTTTCTGAAAAGGTATCCTTGTTTATTTTCTATAGAGCTTAAGTATAACTTTTTCCCTGTCTTAAATTCAGCGAATACTTCATTTTTGCACTGTAAAGCTGCATCCTAGTTTAGCTGTAGCTCTGTGATATACATTTTTATTTTTAGTCCTCTTTTGAGAGGTCTCATTATCATTCAAGGAATTTCTCATTTTCATCGCTCAAGAAGGATTATATTTCACTGTTCATGAGTAATAACTTGCTTAAATTTTATTTTATTTTATTTTTTTTTGGCACGTTTTAATTTTTTTTTTATTTGAGGGTAAAATCTCAGTCCAAATTTTAAATCTCATACCTTCTTTTCATCATTTCTAATAACTTGAACTAAAGAAATTGTTAAAACCTATTTTGTGCGGACAAATGTTGGTAGAGACTGACGGTTATTGGATATTGTGAATCAACGATGTATTTCCCTCTTTCATTTCCTCTAAAAGCGCAGAGAATTTTTTACAATACTCTGATAGAATCCAAACAATTAATCTTTGCTGTGATATTCCATGGATTATTTATGCGATATTCACAGAAATTATCGCAGAAAACGGAACTGTATCCTCAGTTGACTTAATGAAAATTTATTTTAAATTTGTTTACACTTATTTCTACAATTTAGTCCAAGTATTGAATCGTGTGATTACGAAAAATTTATTCTATCACTTTACTTGGGAAACTCGTAAAGCAAAAACGAAATAAAATCAGTGCAAGGTGATCTGAATTGTGAACTTTGGTGTAGCTAATTTATGTTTTAAGGGTATCAATGTGACACATGTGACAGGATCACGTCTGGTAATCTGTTTACGAATGGAATTTCTGTCTTAAATTTGTAAACAACATACTTATTGATAATACCTCCAAATTTTCATCTCTCCTTCTAGTATTGTAATTTAGATATTCTAAAACTCAAATGGAAGAAGGTGACAAAACTAGAAAGGTACATACTTCGGGATTCATTCTTTTTTATTCTTTCTCTCAGGTAGAATAATTATTTTAATTTGTGTGCTCTTGTGATCTGACAGAATATATAAGGAAAAATACAAATGTATTCTTGAGAAATTAAGACTTCAATGGTCTATAATACATTACCTTGTATTCGATAGTTGGGTGGAGGTAAAGTCTTCAAAAAATGATACAATATATAGTGAGGTTAGAAGTGGTCATATTAATGTCATTGAATTTTCGTCTCTTTATATCGATTGAGAAAAACTTTAAGCCAGTTCATGATCATCTCCATGCAATCGCTCAGATCCAGGAGTCCAAATTCCCAATGAGAGGAAAAACTGTATTTGTTGAATTTCTACCCTTCTTCTCGACCACTGATAGCTTTGAATTTTACTTTTACAAACTTAACCAAGATTGAATTTGCTGAAGCATTGACTTTTTTTTTATTGTGAATGTTAAAAAGTTGAATCTATCAAATATTGTTACTATGGGTTTCATTGTTGTATTGAACTCTTTGTTATAAGGTAAGCACTCTGCAAACTAGCTAATTTTAAACAGTTAAGACTTTTCGAAAATGCGAAAAAAATATCTGAGATAAGGATAAACTTTAAAATTTGAATGATTGTAAGCCAACATAATTTATTTCACCCTTACACGGAACAGAAATAATTCTCACTTTAGCGTGTAACAAAGCCGACTGACTTCCTATCCTGACTCGATGTAGGTTATGATAGCTTTACTTTTGATCGTGGTTGAGTAAATCTCCATTCCATATGTGTCCTATTTTTTATTAAAATATGATGTACATATTTTCTTTACATTGCGTGTATTTAGGGAACATTTAGAATTTCCTTACAACCACTTTCATCGAACAGTTAACCATTATTATCTTGAAAAAACGATGTTATGATTTTGAAAAAATGAACTAAACAAATAAAACATATAAATTACAAACTGCTCAGATATTAGCATTGGATTACAAGCCAGTGGTTTAAATCGTGGTTTATATAAAAAAACTACTGATTACTAATCAGGTCAATTCGTCATCTCCAAGCGTATCTCGTTTGCGTTGTTTCTGTATTTGGACCGAGTTCATCAGAAAGGAACCAACCCACATTTAGTTGAAACTGAGAAAAAGAGGTTTGAAGTTTTATCCCTGCATAAAGCTCAATGTAGAAAATGAACTTTAACCAATCTTTTCATAAACTAATTTCTTTTTTTCGACTTTCAGATTTTGCCAGGAGAAAATAAACGACTAGTGAAACTCAAAAACATTCTCAATTCAATTTTTTCGAAAATGTGGGTTGCTTCCTTTCCAATAAACTCGGTCCATTTGTACCTGTATCTGTATGAACATTTTAATTTTTCATGAGAGGACTGCGCTATCTCACGAACTTGTCTGAAAATGGTGTTGTCTTTTCTCACAAATGCAAGGAACAATCATGGAAAATTCCAGGCTTTGTGTGACGATTTTCCTAAAACCAAACATAGTGCTAGTAAGTAATACTGATACAACACAATTAAAATACTTTTCTTTGATTGAGAGGCGAAGAACTTTTTTTTTTTGGAAATTGAGTGTGCCAAGCCTTTAGTAATATCTCCTCCCCTTCTCATTTTTACATTCCCTCAATTGGTGTCAGACAAGCAAGGAATTCTGGGTGTACTTAGCACAATCATGGTTCATGTAGATTCTTGAAAGTACTGAAATACCGTATTTACTTGCGTATGGTATGCACCTTATTTCCAAATTTTCGCCTCTCAAATCGAGGGTGCGTACGGTATGCGGGTTGACACTTTTTACCATTATCATCTCATTGATGCTTCGATTTTTAAATCAACTCAACATGAAGAATATCATAATCATCGGTGAACAAGTACTTAAATGAGCAGTTGTAAATAGATAAAATCATCTCGTAATTATTTATAAGCAAAAGTATTTTTTGTAATCTATAAAGTATTACTAATTGACATGGGTCAGTCTAAGAAAGTGTCTTGTGTATTTTTCACAGACTTGGACAAGCTTTTTCTCCAAATAAAATCTTAGTCTCTTGAAGTTCGCTCACTACAATTTTATTGTCTAATGATTTCCTCGAACTTTCTTCTTATTTCTATCACAATTATTTTCCCTAAGTTGCAGGGTTTCTTAATCGCTATGACAAAATATTGCATGATTGCACTTCTTTAACAAATTTTTACTCTCTCTCTGTACCTTTTGTTTGTTCAGGAAATGTTATTTTTTTAGGTTTTAATTGAAGTTGCTTTAACTGTCAATGTTTGATAGGGAAAGCTTGCAAGGCTGCCACTTTCAACTAAGCTAAAAGTTAATTTCCGCTCAGTTGATGGTTTTTAGAGGAGCTTTTTTAACTTTTTAACCATCAAAGTCCTACTTTTTGCCAAAAATATGTTAAAATAAATTTTTTTGTCACCAATATTATAAATTTACATGTTTAAGTTTTACTTGTCTTCTTAGCCAAGCATGATTCATAACCCTTAGAAACGCCTGAACAGGTTCTTCTGTGTAGCTGTGCTGAAATGGTATCCAGGATTGCTTGCACCATGTCTTCGGCTCAATAAGCAGAACTCAGTTTGGTTCAGTTAAGGATTCCCTTAGAAATTTCATTTGAATCAAGGCTTGTTTGTCAGCGCAACTACTTTGCGTATTGATGACCAAAGAGCAAAACGATCTGCAAATCTGTTTGCGACGTTGCAGATTTCCTGTCATACTTAATTTTTTCTTTGCATCAAAACTAGCTGACATAATTTCTTGAAAACATCTTTGACTTTACTTCCCTATTGGCAGAATATTCTGCATAAATTTCAAGATAAACAGTTAGCTTGTTTCTCCTCGGAAAAATAAAATAGGAGCGAAAATTTTGTAACTTGGTAATGGAGAAATGTGGTTTTGTGGCGAGGCCATCCATGTGCTGAACTATTTTTTTTAAAGACGTACATTTGAGTAAATGGGGTCCATCATGCTTGGCCGTTGTGGATCTAACCTTTGAGGATTCCTAACAATGACTTCATAGTAGTCCTTAGGAAATGGATAGAGTCTGTGTATCATAAATTTGTTGGAAAGGTTAGCCAAAAACTATTGTTCACAATTGGACGTATTTCTGTCAAACAGAACTAAGCGCCAATTTGGGTTCCTTTTGAGGAATTTAGAATCCCGGATAGCGCGTTCTGTCAAACGGAACTAAGCGCCATGGAAAAGCGTTGCGAGTATAGGACGGAACGAGCAGGACGCCTCGTTTCCGCCGCCAATCCAAGCCCCCCTCTACCTTCTTCCCCCTATGGCGCTTCATTCCGTTTCATAGAAATACGTCCAATTTACACAACAGCCTTGCACTATTTCCCTGTCAACTAAATCCTTTCATCAAATGCAGGGGTAAAATAATAATGTATGTTATGGTCACTGCATACACTTACATTCCAATTTTCAGATTGGATCTACTACACATTGTACTTCAGTCCAGAAACTGCAAGATTTACATTGTTCTTGTAATAATTATACCTCAGTAAGAATTTTATACTTACTGTTTTGTTGTGCGTTGAGTATTGAAAATATCAATAAAACCTCTCCTCAATCTTGACCTTGCAGAACTCATTATGTTTGCGTTACTAAATTGACTCTATAATCCTCAAACACATTCTGTCTAAATTGCCTGAGATATTTACTCCTTACCGTTTGCAAAAAGTCACACGTAAAGATTCTTTCCTTTAAATAGGCAGTTGAGAACTAATCTACTCAGTAATCTACATTGTAAACAATATGTTAGAGTAAAGGAAGGTTAAAACATCCTTCTTGATTTTTTAATTTTCGCCGTAGTGAAAATATGACAATTTTTTTTTTTTTTTTTTTTTTTTTTTTTTTTTTTTTTTTCTTTTTGGGCGGGAAACTGTTCAATTTCATTTTAAAAAATTATATTTTTCTAGGCTTTAGAAGATTTGATCCAGTTTCTAAGAGGAATTTTTAAAGGACTAATTTTAAGAGGAAACAGCTAAAAAACAAATGTTTCTGGTACTTCGGAACATTAATTTCAGGGAGGAAGAGATGATCAGATAGAGCTGTCGATGACAGAGGAAGAAATTGTAAAAGCTGCAGATTTAGAAGAAACAAAACTTTTATTGCCATGTCTTTTCAGAAAAATTTTCAGGACAAGCAAGCAGAAACAACAAAGGAGAGAATGAGGAGTGGTAATGCTTGTACAGCAGAGACATCTGTTAACATAAACAGGCAGTCAAAAAATAAATAGAAAAAATTGATAGGAACCTTACTTTTGAGCACTCCTCTTTGGAGACGCATGCCTATTTTGCATACTTTTTGAGAACTGCCAACAAGTACAAGTACAAGTGCTCTCTTCTTTGGAATTAGAAAATAAGTATTTAGAAAGCTGCAAATCACCCCCCACCCCTCCCAGGCAAAACAGGCTGCCATTTTAATATAGGTATAAAACGTAGGTTGTCACACAACGACAAAATACTGTTAGGAGTGGATCTATGTTAATTTCTACAAAAATAGGATAAAATTGGCAATCTTAAACACTCCAAGAAATAATAACAATGAACTAAGCATTTACATAATCAACTGCTTGTTCGAATTCTGTTCACAAGATACATTAAGACTGACTTAATCAATCACTGTCAATACTTAGAAAATATCTCAATTTTTTGGACTCCGGAAAAAAAATGCTGAGAGTTAAATCAGAAGAAAAGAAAACTTGTATTACAGAGGTAACTTCTCCCAGATGGTTCCAATCATCAGTCAATTTCAATTAAATAAATGAACGACAAATTTCTTGCAGAAACAGGGGGCTGCTTATTAGTTGGCATTCTGCAAAAAGGGCCACCAGACAAGTAGAAAACTACTCACAAAACGGGTAGTTCAGAGATCAACTCCTGGACGAGATGTTTAAAAATCTTGTTCACACAGAGCAAAAATGGAAGTCAGAGCATACAAATTGCGAATGTTAACTGTAAACACTTATACCTTGTTTGGGAGTTGATTCCTGGTTTTTCAGTTGTAAGATTTAATTTTTTCGTCAAATTTTGAAGAGAAAACATTCATACCTTCTCTGAAGGCCCATTCTTCAGCGATTTTTACAGAAGATTCTGCTCACAAACAGTCAGTTGTCAGTTTTTAACTATGATCTCTAAAAAATCTGGGTCTTTTTTATTGTATGGCCCAAAGCAAGAATAAAAACTTTGATTTGACGGTCAAATTTTTACCAAAGGTTGAAAGAAAAAAAATGATGGCATTGCAAAATTTTAGAGACAAGAAACAAAAAACAATGGCAAGTTAAGATTTTCAGGACTAAGTTAAAATGTCAATATGTGATTGGTAAGCTCTGTCAGTTGCCTTCTTTATTATGCCCATGTTAGAATTAGCGGCACACCAAAAGCACTTTTCACGACCGACAAGCTCTTTTCACACCTTAAGGCAAACACAGGTTCCTTTCACTTCACTACTCATTTTTTAGTGGTTACGCACTAAATTCAAAGAAGATACACATGGGTGATTGCTTCAGGTCACATGACATCTGGTACATTACGGGTGCAATTCAAACACAAGGCAAAACCCTCTGCGTGTTTCGCATCTCTAACACCGTTGCTAAAACTGAAATGCTTCCACAATTGTATCTGCCTTGTGCAATACTTTGGATTTCCTAGTAGTCATATTGTCTCAAAAATTTGTATTGAAAAAGCTTCAAAAACGGAAGACTGATACACTAGTTTATGAGGCACAAAAAAATTACTCAGTGGAGGAATCATTCCTTGTCTTTAAATCATACTTTTCATGCAGGTTCCTGTTAAATTATATTTTTATGGCATTTTGATTAATTTTTTCAGAGATAATTTCTACACTCATGAAAGGCTAAGTTATCAAACTTTCACACCTCCTTTTCTTATTTTTAAATTCTTTGATTCTTTTTTCTACTTCAGCATTTCTTTATCAAATAAATAAGAGGCCTGGATGATTTCATGGAAAGCATCCTCAGTCAAACTTCAATGAAACACAACTATACCTAACAATTTCTGAAAAAAAACTAAATGTTTTAAAATATTCTAGGTTACCTTGTCAAAAGAGTACTAGTGACACAGTAAATGATACACATCACTTCCTGACAAATTAGCTGATTTAACTATGCTCTACATCCGTGAGAGTTACTAAAAACTTTACAAATGCTAATGTTAACTTGTTGATTTTTTAACAATTGTCTGAAAATGTTCAGTCTTCTCCCACGGAACTTTCAATAATTTTGTGACATTTCCTCACGATTAAAGTATTTTAAATGCAAGAGCAATTGAAAAAATCAACTTGTAAAATCAAAATCCTGGTGAGGCCGTAACCACTGGAGCATAAATTTCCCACAAAAATGCATGTGCGATTATTTCAGTAATCCATTAATCAAGAATCGTAAAATCGTTTCAAAATTAATCAATAATCGGTCCAAGTAATTAATTTAATCGAAAAATTTGTTTTGCGCACAGAATGCCGTATTTTTTATTTTTACTGCGAAAAAAGCGAATTGGGTGGTTGTGAGTCCCGAGGTTGGGTTAAGTTCATTGTTCATTATTATTTTGTATTTATCAGTTTCTTAATTTTTGGATGCTGCACGTTGACAGGCTGTGTTTGTGTTTTGTGTTATATGAATGTAAATTTGGTGCTGCTGGGTCATTCCATGCCAACTGGTGCCACTTTGAAAAAGTGACCCCCTCAAAATTTGATGAAATTTGGCATACTCACCGGCGTTATTCAGACCTATCACAACTGCCTCAAAATTATAATGTGCGAAACACCTACAGAAAAATGCCACTTCGGCCAGTGCTCTGTGTCCCTTGGTATCTCAGCCATACAGTCAATAGTACGAGAAGCTTTGGAGACAAACGTAATCAAGACATTAACATTTAGGCAGTGACTGCATGTAGATCGATGCAATCTAGAGATGCTGACACAAACCTCCGAAGAATTTGTAGACCTATTTGTAGACTACAATTTATTATTATATATTATTTTATTTTTTATAAGGAGGGAAAGGTCAAGAGAGCGGGGCTTCTTTAAATTGCTGCAGGGCAGTAGTAAAGTTATTTGTACACAGTGCAAATGCACATTACAGTATTGTAAAAATACAACAAATATGAAAAATCATAAGCATGACACAATGGCAGTGCCAGCCACTGCCATCTAGGACTACCTCATCCTCATCAACGATCACTGAAGCTGATCGTGATCCGTTTTCAGTCACCACCGAAAGTGTTATTAACTAAGACCTTGTTGATTCAAAAGAAGATGACAGGGAAAACCATCAATAACTTTCGATTATCTACTACTTCAAGGCGGATAATCGATTAGTTGAATAAAATTGATTATATCATTTAAAAAAAAATCGACATCGAAAAGATTTGATTGATCGATTCTTCGATTATTTTTCGATTAATCGCACATGTTTAACAAAATTGCACTTACACTTATAATTGATCAAGATGATCAAACTAGAAATGCAGAGGAGATTAATCAAATTCTAAGAGAATCCTCAAGTGGCTACAGTAGACGGTCTTTTTAGTTAGATGCTTTTAACTCATTGGGTGCCATATTTACACATCAAAGCAATCCTAGAAATATCAATTTTTGCAGTAGTTAATTGAATTAACAGGGAAATTTGAGAGAACAGAACTTGACTTCATTAAAAATTATTAGGAGACGTATCCTCATATTCAGTAAACTAGCATCAAAAATCAACATATTTGTGTTACAATAAACGTTTTGTTTAAAATGCTTGGTTAAATAGACGTATTCAGTTTAGATGTACATTTAAGTGGCCTATCATAGAAAATTCTCTTTGGAAACCGCTAAATTAGAGCTAGAGTTATCTGAACTGTAAAGTCATTGTTTAATTAGACTGACTGAGATGCAATATTTTACATTCTTTAATATAAAAATTCAAAGCAGGTTTAAAGGGAGGAGTAGTAAGCTAAAATTCGCTTTAAGAAAAGTGGTTGCTATTTTTGCTCTGAATAATGGGCAAAATCTGTTTTCCAGCAAAATGTTTGCAAAGCAAAGGGGGTGCTTCTTTACTTCTGCAAACTATTCAGAATTTTCGCTTCCAATTTTTCAACCACCATTTCTTTCTGGTACCCTTATCGATTAACTATTACCGCAAGGCATACAAAATAAAACAATTAAATCAACAATTTTTTGGCCTAAAATTCCCGAAAAAATTAGACCTAACTATTATCAAGCTCCCCATCTATACGCTCCTCTGAGATCCACCTGACAAGCCATGACGCAGTGTCCGGGCCAATCCACAGAATATAGACAAGTAGGGAGTTCACCAAGCCAACTCCAGCTCCTCCTAGAACATCAAGTAAGTAATGGCGATGGAGAAGAATTCGTGAAGCAGCCACCCCTGATGCCCACGAGAGAAGCGGCATCCAGAAGATAGTGGGTAGAGGATAGAGGTGGATGAAAAAGAGAGAGATGTACACTGCACGGGAGACATGACCTGATGGGAAAGAGTACTTGTCCGGGCCTATGGTGAATGTGTCAGGCTGATTAGCTGCAGGACGTTTGCGGCGGACAAACGACTTGATCAGTGCAATGAATATTATGTCCGTGATGAGACCTGAGGACACAAAAACTTTGATTTCACATAGTGGTAGGTAAAGAATATTTTTCCTGAGAGTTTGGACTTAAGCTGTTTATAACAGGTGAGTTGTGCAGACCTACAATAATCACAAGTTGATTGTTGAATCTTTAAGATTAGCAAGCGGTAATAAAATCTTTTGATTGCAAAGTTTCTTTAACCATGTTTTAGAGATACTCTTTAGTATCTCGAACATAGAGATACATGGAGTAACCAAAGTTTTTAAATTGATGAGACTCCGGTGAAAGAAATCATATTAAGCATTAATATTGAGAATGAAGTCATTCACTGTGTTTCTTAAAATAGGATGAATGTGTTGTTATTAAGCACAGAATTTTGGAATTGGGACAAATTTTATTGTTGTTTAAGATTCAGAAAAATTCAGCTATTGAAAGTATGACCGTGCAACGTTCTGACATAATAATTTATTTTTCATGAAACAGCTGAAAGATGGCTGAAATTCTTAAGGTACTTGAATTTGTTAACAGACAAATTTAAGGAGAGATATTCCATGATTTTTCAACTAGCATCCTTCATTTTTATTCAGTGAAAAAATATAATCACCTCTCCATACAGCATTCACAAAACATTGTTAGGTATTTTTAACAAAGATGACTAACCCACAGAGGGACCAAAATTTGCGCAATTTGATTTTTTAGCCCTCTGAAAAGTATGTGTGAAAACACGATGAAAAAAGTAAATACCTTCTGATACTTTCTTAAAGAAATAAAATAGAAGCAAGAATTCAATGAAGATGCGTTATTCTACAATGTTTTCATCACTATACATATAATCCGTCTATGATAGATTGACTTATATTATTTCTATCATTTGAAAATTTCAAATTGTGACAACTAACAGTGGATATTAATAAATTAAAGTTGAGAAACTGAGAAAGGCCAGGAAAAAAAAGTGGTTGCGAAGTGGCTTACCAATGAAAAAGTTAACTTGCATTTGAAATAGAGAGGGCTGCCATAATATCCACAGCATTGCCAGCCATGAAGCAAGCCACACAACACCATGACAAGAATACTGTAATTAAAAGCACATAAGATTTTACTATTTTCTTGGAAGAGTAAATTTTCTTAAATATCACTGATAAGAATCTCAATTTTTTTAAAGTCACCTGAAAGGTACCTCCTCTATGCAGACTTTAGCAGGAAGGGACCAAGTTCTTTACAGTGTTTGTTGAATCGTGCAATCTTTTCTTTTTCTGGAAAACACCCCAGAGTTAGAACGCTTTTTATCTTTCCTTCAAAAAATTGTTAGTTCCAATTGTTGTTCAAAAATTGTTTCACCTGAGTAAAACAAATCGTGTTAACTTCATTGCTGCTCATGTTTTTTTTTTTACAGTCAAGAAGAAGTTTAAAGATTTTGAAAACACTGCAAAGGACTCAATTCCTTTCTGCTGAACACTGTCAAATTAATGAAATACTGCTCTACAACAGTTCTACATCTGAGATGATGCTCTCAAATTTAGCTTACTACTCGGAAAGGACACATTTCAATGGTTAAAGTCACTTAACACATACCATAATTTGTAAAATTATTGATTTCTTGTCAAATTTCAATTTTCCGGAGGAAGGTCAAGGTACCTTTATTATATCTCAGAAAAGTTGAAAAAGAGAGAGAAAAGGAAACACCATTTGGATTTTAGACATTTTTCGAATCACTGCATACGTTGAGTCTTGTAGCTGAGTGAGGAAACTTCGGGACTGAGACTGCGACTAATTATTGCTCTGAAAGATCTTTCCACACACGAGTGTGTAAAGATCTTCTAGAGCAATAATTAGTCACAATCTCAGGAGAAAAGGAAGTTCCCAAAGCCAGCTCCATTTTAAAGTGTTGGTCATATGCGACCAAAATAATTTGGTAATGCGTCCATATTTGACAGAACAGTCACATGAAAGTTGTAGACATATTTGACAGGACACTCTTGTTTGTTAACGACTGTAATAAAAAAATCTATGTTTTTCCTGCAAGAGCTGAAAAAGGAAGTTCAATGCCTAAAAATGAAATAATACAGTTTGTTCAATATTTATTTTGAAAGTTTTGCACATTTTAAAAAATTACAGATACTTATCATGAAATCACCAATACGTTATGGACATCAGTACATGATCAACTACCAAATTATTTTTCTCAACCCTTACGTACTTACATTGAAAATTCCCACTGAATGATGGGTGGTGGGAACTCACTGCATTCATACATGAATATATGATAAAAGTAAAGGTAAAAAGCGTACCTCCAGTCCTTTGTAATACTTCTTAAAGGTGCGCAAAGGCAGGTACTTTGAAATGACTCGTACTATGACATCAGTGATGTACGCATCCCATTTGAGGATCAGTTTCAAGGCATCAGTCTGAGTTCTTTTACCTTTGACACCACTTTGCTGCACAGAGCCTTTGGTTTTCATTGACTGCTGGAAGAGAAAACAAGAAATACAGATTAAAAAATTGGCATAAAATTTTCTCCAAGGATAGAGGTATCCTAAAGTATCTCATGCTAATTGGCGGTAGCTGAGACTCTGGATCCATCTTCAGTTGTAGGAATAGGTAAAAACGAATTTATTTGTTTAAGGAGTTGGTCTACTGTGTAAATCTGTGGAGGTTGGCGGACAAACAGTAGCCCAAGCAGGTTTCTGATTGGGTTTCCAGGAAAGAGCCAGCATAGACGTCCCGAGGAGGGTTGGCACTAGAGAGTGGAGGAGGAGATCAGAAGACGTCAATTGCATAATAATCTGTGGAGAAGGGGGTACTGACTGGGCGTCTCCCAGCTATGCTATAAAAGTAACTGTTTCATATACATGGAGAATTATGTCTTATTTTAGGTAATCCTCGGGAGCATTGCTATTAGGGAAGCACAACAACTAAAAACGTCTTACCGGTTGCAACGTAAATTACAGAACTGGCAAAATCAAGCTGGCACCCTGGATATCCTTCCTGAAGAATACATGACTGGTGGGGCAAATTAAACAAGCGACAATGCGTAGAGTAGGAGCTCTACAGCCCGGTTCAGGTGGTCGAACATTTCGATATAAGTATGGTATGTCAAACCAGTCCATCTCACCAGACTAGTCTAAGCAGATTTATGTCTGATTCAATCAGTCAATCAGATGGATTTGCTATATGGCAAACAAAGCATCTGGGCTGGGCCGAATAATTCAGATTGAAATTGGCTGATCTGATAGGCACCTCCATTGATTTTATTCCGTCTGATCGATCAAAGCTGACTGGTGATTCATCAGAACACTTGGGCGAACAGCCAAAAATATCGACACACTATGAAGACTTTCAATTTCTTTCAAGATAAAAGGATTAATTAGTCTCCTCGAATATACAAATGTTAAAAGTGCACTAAATAAAATACTTACAGTTTTATTCATCTTGTTGTAGCGTTCCTGACTTCCTGAGTCACAACCTTATCAGGAGCAAATTGACCATTTCTTGAGAGTGAAGAGAATTGATATCCCAGCTAAAAGAGATGTCAGCACCGGACAACTGTTTCACAAGAGTTTATGAAATAAAAAAAAAAATTAGTTTGATTCCTTCACAAAACTCAGAGATTGGGGTTCGATTTGGAAATCAAGTCTCCAGCTCTGCCAAACTTGAAGATTGAGGTTAAAAAATGACAGATGACTGATAGCAGCGGCCTGCCTCAATTCTGACGACAGCCAAGATGACAGGCGAAGGCGACCTGTGGCGCTTTGCTGCGGCCCTAATACATCAAGCTCCAAAACGACGAAAATACGCATGTTTGAGACGAGAAACTCACACCGATGATAAAACCTGAGCTTGAAAAAGCAAAGTACGCTCAATGTCCAGACCAAAAAGACCTGTTACGCTTTCCTGCTGCCCTATCACTTCAAGCTCTAAAACGACGAGAATGGTCCTCGAGCCTCACTACTGCAAACGAGAAACGTATTCCTGCAACAAGTTTCTCCGTCTATGAAGACCACGTGGATCGCATTTAGCAATAAGGAACCAGCGCAATACAGTGTTTTCAAACTTGTGGAACTTCTTCTTTTCTTTTAGAAATACTCAAAATATATGTACTATTAAAATTTACAGGCCAATTTCCCTTTAAAATTATAGCCATTATTTTGTTGGTGGAAAGTATTACTTAACAATTTGTTATTCAGGGAGATTTTTTAGATACCTAATTATGAAGAAGCAACATTTTTTCAACACTGTAATTGCTCTGGTTCCTTTATGCAGAATGTGATCCATGTGATTCTTAGACATATTTGGGACACTTTTTCCAAATTTTTCAGGAAAATAATTGATAAGCCCTTCAACTCCCGTCATTGATAAAAACAAAGACTGTCAAGATACTTGCAACTTTACAGATCAACATATAACTTGAGTGATTCAAGAAATTATAAAACTATGTATTTCTTCCCAAAATTTCTCTTTGAGTACGATCCATTTAAAAATGTGCAAATTTTTTCACCTTGAAACCTCTTTTTAAATCAACTGTAAACTGAATGTTTGCACTTTCAAAACTACAGTAAAACTCAAAAACAATGTATCTTGTTAGCAGCGTTCTATAATCTCCCCTCCCATTTCATATTTTTGAACGGAGAAAATCAGCATTATTCGTTGAAGTTTTCACGCCAAATAAAAAAAAAAAAATCACGGTAGTTTTCAAAAATTTAAGTTGAATAATTTTCCAATTTAATAGGTAAATTACAACAGGAAGTCTGCAACATCGCAAACTAAGGCATAAGGTTTGCACGTTTCACGGTTGAATAATTGAGATTTCAGCACTATCACATTCAGGAAAAGAGCATGCTTATTGGTCAAAAATGAAAATTATTCATCTCAGAAAAGTATGTTNGGGGGGGGGGGGGGGGGTATGGTGTATTTTTGATTACTTGAATCTGACTTATGCTTGATTTACTAAGTGCATATTGTGGTCTTTTGCCTTTTTTTGATGAGTAAATGACATTGATCAATACACTTGGCATTGCTTTATTTTTAAAGAAACGGTTCAAGTACCAGAACCAGACTAAATGTACAAATGTATTCCCCAGAGCAATGTCATAGGCTTTTGTGTTATGTGTTAGGCACTTCATCTGCTATTAATTGATCGAGATTTTGGGATCTTAGATTCATGATTGTTAGATCTAGTGAACTTTCAGAATGGAAAGTTCAGACGACGATCCATTCAAAACATAAGAAGTCACTCATTAATTTGAAGGCATGTCGCTCATGAAGTCAAGATAAAAGACAGCGAGTACAATAAATGTAATTTATTACCATCTTAAGATACCAAAGAAAAAAATACACAAATTTTATTTTACATCATACTAACAATTAAAATAAATTAAAAAAAGGAAAATCAAAATAATTATCATACAGAAAACAAAGATGAAGAATAACAAAATTGAAACAAAACATACAATTAAAGTATTACCATTATCTCCAGAGCAGGATACTTTTTGAAAAATCACATTTTTATAGTGTTGCAAGGACACATTCAAGTCTCAGGGATTATGGTAGAAACAAATAGGTACATATCAAAATTTTCGGGTTCCGTAAAATCAAAATTTTCGGACCAATTTATGAGCAGTGAGGGTAATGACTTTTCGTGACTTGCTGGCGGTTTAAAGTCGTATCAAAAGTTAGAAAGCATCTTGAAATAGTCGAAACACGATTCCAAAAACTTCGGTTTCTGAAAACTGAAGATAGTTTACCTAATATGGGAAACTGGTATGATACTTTCAAAAAATACAAACAAAAACCAGGACTTAGCAGGAACATTTCAATAAATGGTTGTATGAAAAGTAAAAAAGAGTAATGTCTATAAACTACACAGTCCATTGTTTTACGATAGCAAAATAATTTCCCTATAGACTGAGAGTGTAAAATGAAAAGAACATTTGCTTAAATTTGAGAGGCTTTCTTTACGATTTAAGTGCCAAACCTATTCCACTAATTTTATAAAAAAATAGACGTGAACTTATGATTGAGAGACATTCTTTTTTTAAAATAAAATATTTTACAACAAATATGTACCTCTACGTCAACGCTTACCCTGGCTATTTAGTCGTAAATCGAGTTTTACAAACAATACAAAATTTTGATGGTAACAAAGTCTCTTACAGAAAAAAGAGTTACTCAATTAAGAACTGAAAGTCATGCAATGACCGTATTTGACCAAATGGGGATCTGTAATGTCACAGGTTAAGTCCTGCAGACTTTAGCTGCTTGTCCCTGCCTCAGAGGCGATTTTAGAATAGGTTGCCTGCTTTTAGGCGCATAAGATACCCATAGGAAGAGTGGATTGGGCTCTCAGCCATAAGGCAATCATCTAGGAGGGCGCACTCAGAATTCGAACACTAGTCCTTCGTGTTGGGAGTTGAGTCATTGGGCTCTCGGTCGTACAATGAAAATGGGCCAACGAATTGGAAGAGTATTAAGATAGTCGCAAAGAAAAAGGAATTCCATTATATTCATGCTTCAGTGATAGAGAAAATGTTTACCTCTTGATATTCACCAGTTTTGAAGTGGTAAGTATGAACTTATGTCTACTCTTACGATAACCATGATAGTAAAATTATTTTGAAACAAATTTTAAAATAATTTAATTTTGATAAAAACATTAAAGTTATCCAGGCATATTCTCCGCGAGTAAAATTCACTATTTTGCAGCACTAATTACAGGTAGAATATAAACTCCATTGGTCTGAATCAGAACGCAGAAATACATTTCTGGCGTTGTACTTTTGTCATGATAAAAGTATTTTCTTTTTGCATTATTCTTCAAAGGAAAAATTCTTTGGAACAAGATCATAATTCTCCAAGTACTTCACCAAAATTGTTCACGATGAAAAGTATTAACAGTCATTGATTCCAGCAAGATAATGTTGGAGTACAGAAATGTGATTACTGTTCGGTGGCAGCTAAACATAGCGAAAAATTTAAAATTTGAAGATGCCACATACGTCTGACAGTCAAGCTCTCAGAGTAGAGATCAACGAGCCGTTTTAGGAAAGGCACAAAAAAGGAGGCAAATGCAAAGTACATATCTTTGATTTGGATGATACGGGAGAGATTTAACAAGGTTCAGAATACAAAGATGATAAGATGATTTGCGATCAAACTGACAAGGAGCACAAAAAATCTAGCAAAGAAAGATTGCAAAATAAAAATTTAATGCGGATGGAATTTGATAGAAAAGTGCTGATGCTTATTGTAAAAGGGAGTAATTGCTGGTGGTTTTGAGCTGGTTGTTTCTCAGTCAAAACGCTTATTGGGTGCAAACAAAATTAAAAATACAGGACTATTATTAGACTGGTGCGCAAAGAGCTTCACGTTTTTTCTTTTGAAATAGACCTGAAGAAAGTTGACATATTAAAATAGAAGAGCATTAAATTCACAGTGCGTCTCCTCCTTGAAATTTTTTTAAGCATTTTCTTGTTTGAACTTTCTCTTTTCACGCACAGCGTGCCAGTATCAAGAATTTCTTTCTCTTACGTTACTTTTGTTAAAATTTCATGATCCACCGGCAAAACAACTTATACAAACTTGGTGTAAAATTTGGCCTATTAGTGAGCTGAACAAATAGATGCATATGACTGGGGGGAAAAAAAAGGACTGCCCTTAAACTAACTCACTGCTTCGATTTAAAGTTACTGTGAAGAGATGAACCTCAGGAGTAAAAAATGAACCCTACATCTCAACTGCATTAATGGAATGAACATGCCTAAGTATAAAATTAAGATGTAGTGATAACATGCAGATGTGATGGTCCATAAATGATCACAATAAAAGAAGTTTCCTCCGCTTAATTGAACTCAAAAATTTGACCAATGCAACTCATTACAATATTGGAGACCGAAAAGAGCCCTTTTCACACTTAATGCCTCAATTTTGGTTCAAACTCAAACGAATAATAAAATAGAATCTGCACTTGAGCATTGATTATCACTACCAGAGACTTGACGAAATTTTTCTTCAAGTTTGAAGTTGAAGAACCAGTCTTCAAAAGCTTATTGAATAGAAACAGAATATTCCAGCAACCCTACTTGAAAAATGGAGGAAAAAAGAGAGAGATTCTGCCGGATAAACTGAGGATAGAAAATGATGAGTTTAAAATTATATTCATCCTCTGAAACTGATGATGAGCAAGGCCTCTTAAAAGACGCGATAGAGGTTATTTCTAAAAAATGTCGACTGTACACTGTACATTTCAAAAATAATTAAACAATTACTCAAGTAGTAACTAAAAAAATATAAACAGAAACAATTACATTTCTTCCTTTTTTAAACTTTAACAAAACCGAGTGATGGCCATCTGAATGTTGCGCATTGCGTTTTTTCAGTCATTCTGTTGAATCTTTTTCTTTCTGAATTGGTTCTGTGCTCTTTGTTAAGAAAATGTTTAACTAACATCTAGAGCTTTAGGTGAGATTTTGAAGAACTGTTCTGATTCTTCTTAAGATTTCTGTGACTAATGATCAAAATAATTGTGATTGAAATGCTTCTTTCTGTGGTAGGACTGCACATTACATAGATCATTTACACTTTTTGAGAGAGAACATGTTGCAGCAAAATGGCAAAATCATCTTTAACATTATTTGGTAAGTTTACTCCAACACTCCAAATTATATTCCAAGATGTAAATTAACAATTAACTTCGAAAAACTGTATCTCCAGAAGGTTTTATGCGATTGGGCTGGAGTAGTGTTCATAAATACAAATATTTACTTTACTCAGTTTTTAAACTAATGTAAAGTATTTTCATTTGATTACTAAAAAAATCAGTTTAGCTACTATTATTTGCTGAAAACAATTTAGTGAATGTCAGAAACGTTTGAAAATAACTGTAAGATTCTCATTGACTATTGTGTTCTACAGTAATACCTAGATTATCTACTCATCACTTATTTGATGCTCCACCTATTGAACGCTACAATGAGACATATATAAGCCTGACTTTTAATGTTTTGCCTTCATTTTCTTTATTATTTTCTCTGTTTTTTCCACACTTATTTCTTGTTTTTTTATCAATTTTCTGTATACAGCTCAGGCTTCTGCCACAAATCATCGGTTAATCGAGGTATTACTCAAGGTCTGAGACTTAAAATTGCAGAATCAATGTTTGTAGCAGCACAATTATTGATAGAATCTGCAGAGTACATTATAATAACTAACTTAACATCGCCGAGAAAAAGTAAAACAAGTGATATCACAGCATATATTCCCTTGATAGATTTTCTGTGGGTGCTAAGTGATACAAAATTCATTAAAACGTCCTACAACAACATTAACGTAATTGAAGGTTGAGGCTCCAAAGACTTTTGCTAAAACGGAAAAATCATTCTGCAGGCATCTCGAAGGCTCAGCACACTATTTGGTACCTTTGTTTGTTGTATGAAGCAGATTTTAAGCAGATTTTTTGTAGTTGGACAAAGTTGAGGGATGTATTAAATTGCTTAAACAGTTCAATTCACTGTTTTTTTTTTTTTTAATGAATGAAATCTCAGGAGAAAAGTAACAACATCATATAAAAAAGTTAAGAGCCAAATTCTGAGAAGTAAAGCTCCCCCTTAAATGCAATCATTCCCTGAATATTTTAAAAGTAAATCCTAAAATGATAATAATAAGGGGCTGAGAAGCACCTGATCAGTTATTTTTTTGTGGTACAAAATAAATGGCAAGGTCTAGGGCAGAGTTCTAATCCTTCACGTTAAATTCTCTTTTTATAAGCTGGAATTGAGGTTATATCTAGTGTAAGATTTCAAAGGATTTTACTATCTCTGCTAATTCCTTTTCCCCATCTAATCTTCTCAAAGATGTTCTCCTTGATCTCCAACCTTAAAAAAATATGAATTTATCTTCCCAGTTCCAAAATGAAGAGTTGGTCAATTTTTTTGAATTTGGGTCTCGAAAACGAGAATCATTACATTTGAAAGTAGTTTACACATGCTCAAAAGCTAGAACTAGGTTTGATGGAGGACAAGGGATTCTTTTCTTGAAATGAAGATATTGGGAATTGAAAAAGTACAAGATCCAAACGCAGAGAGCAACAAACAGATGGGAGTAAACTACGACCAAGAAAAAAAAGAAGAAAAAAAAACAAACGAAACTTGGTAAAAAAGCTTAATCGATCACTGTGTAAGGCAAAATTCGAAGCAAGTCGTTGTGGTAGGATCTTCGGTGAACCATTTCCTGCCACTCTCGAAATGTTTCACTCTGCGGTGGTGCTGGAGGTGCAGAGTGCTCCCACACTCCGTTAAGACCCTCAACACACTCACCATGAAGACGCTCTAAATCGTCGACAGTCACAACTGGACTTGCAGGCGGAGAAGGCACGGGTGTTTCATCCCAGGATATGGCATCAATGTCAATAGGGGGCAACTGTGACAGTATTTCTTCTACGGTGTTAAATTTGGGCGGAGGAATAGGTGGGGGATCTTCAGGAGGTGGCTCTAATTTCTCTATTGTAGGACTATCATTATCAATTATTATTGGTGAACTAGGCTTATCTGGCGTTGATGGGATGTCTTCTTGACTTAAGTATTTACTGGAAAGACTTTGATCTTTTTTCAAACTATTTTTAAGACTAGAACTTCGGTCCTTGGGCACAACATTAACATCCAGCTCGCCCGTTTTGGAACCAAGCATTGCAACAAGTTCTTGGGTGGTTTTGACCTTGGGTGTGCGGGATATTGATGCTATCTTCTCTTTGATTGGATCATCGTCGACTGGGACCGTGCCTGCAGCTTTGAGAAGCGTGCTTCGGTTTTTAGAGCCTTTTTTGCGGCCACGCTTCTTAGGGCCAGGTGGAGGCTCCATGGGAGGGTCTTGAGGCACTTGCACTTCTGCCGGTGGAAAGTATTCTACAGGTACAGGTTCTTCACGCCGGCTGCACTCACCTTCTGCATTGGCTATCACAGGTTGACTGCGCGTCAGTCCATTGATTCGAGACTTTTTCTTCTGTGGCTCATAAGTTTCACAAGAGTCATCTTCCGCTTTTCTGAGACGCTTATTGGCTGCATGTGTACGCGGTACGGATTCCACTAGAGGTTCATGAGGGTTGACGCTTTTCTCAACGGCAGCACCGTTCTGTTGTGAAGCACCACTTAAGTCAACTAGGTTACGCCAACGTTTGACCAAATTTTTCGCCCGCTTGGCCAACGACTCACAGTCTGTTTTTTTTCGCAGCAAGTTGACACATTTCCCCAATCTCGTGACCTACAACAGAGGCAAAGATGAATTAAAAAAGGAAAATTAAACCATAAAAACTTCCTGACAGAGGCTCATAGGGGTGGACATTGGACAAGGTGAAACTCTCATGACTTCTCTCCAAAAAAGAGAGAAGTTTCACGGAGAATTCAACAGTGTTACTCATGACATACCTTTGACTATCTACAGAGACTCTGTATAGATTTCAGAGGTACCTACAGCACCAAGGTCTGAAGAATGTAGTAATAAGAAGTTCTCAACTTACAGGAGGATTGCAATTAAATTTTATTTGAGAAAATCGAATGCAGGAAAATTTTTGGCATGAGAAAACAAAGGTAAAAATATCTTTCTCAACTGACTGATATTCATAGATTTAAAAGTATATTCTGTACTTCAAAATAGGAAAGGGGTTTTAGTTTTAGCACAATTGAAATCATATTTATTATACAGCTAGAGACGATTAATATGAGCATCTAACATTACATTCAAATCATAGCTGATTTTAAAACTGATGAAAGTCAACAAAGCGACTTTGTCAATTACAATGTGTTGTTTCTAACCAAGACTTCCATAGTAACAGTAAAATGGGACACAAGAGGTGTTCTAACAGCATCTCAAAAATTTAAGGGCTTTCTGGTCTGCAAGACTAATTTTGGCAAGTTATCTATAATTTTCAGCTGAACGATTTTCCAGAGGTGTCACGAGTTTGACAGAAATCAAAGCTACACCGATTATACCAGCGCCAGATTTTGCTAGCACTCTCTGTTTCTAAACACTGAAACTTGCTTTTCAAACACATTTCACTTGCGGCTTCCACTGAAACTGATGACTGGATAAAAGTAATTTTAATTCTACTTAATTTGCATTTTTCAAATCACAAAAAAAGCCCACTGAAAAGATGCTGAAATCAGATTCATAGGGTACCGCTCTCCTCTCTTATGATGTTGACTTATGACTCTTCATTCAGCCCGAAGCAAGCAATTCTCCAGCAAGTAAATCAGCTCATGTCCTGGCAGTGCTGCACATTTTGTCACCAACATCCACACAGCTCCGTTGCCTTTTCAGTGGTCTTATGAGTATTTCTGTTTCTTTCTTTATGTTTTTGCTAGAGGTGTCGTCAGCTAAGTTGACAGTTGTTTACTTTCCGTTTGCAAGTGCCAACGACGAATTTGTGCCTCTGCACAAAGCGACGTTCGTTACTATCCACCTTAAAACATCCGTCTCATGATCATATTGTAAAAAAACTACTTATCAGTTATGATTAGCGACTTTTATATGGTTGTGAATCCTGTATGGCTAAAAAATAAAAAGTTACAAGGTTTGAAAGTATTAAACAACTTATTTAAGCTTGCGTTCTTGCTTCTGCACGAGTCTGATGTTTTCATGTGGATAGTAGTGGCGCAAAAACGCTTGCAAGCCGAAAGTAAACAAACCGTCAACATAGCTGACGACACCTCAACAATCCAATTACTTTCGAAATTTGATCAATTATATCAGCAAAAATATGACCGAGTTCATCGGTGTGATTCCCTCTTTTCTCCTAAAATTTTAGGGATAGCAGTATTGTCTAAAATATTTGCTTACTCCGAGAGCATGCGAAGTTTATAAATAAAGACGCAAAAAATTATACCTCAAGGGCCTCTTTTGTGATTGGCATCTTTTCCAAGATAGAAATGACCTCTGCGACGACTCCCATGTCCACAACCTGCAAAAGAAAAGGAGAAATTTTTAGAAAAATGTTTTTGAAGAGACCTCAAGAATCTTAGGAATTGGAAGATACTTTTTCTCAACTAAATTATGATGAGGCCTCGTCACATGTAGGTACCAAAACGGAGCGTTACATCATGAAAATCTGACAAGCTAAGAAAAATGTACCATTCCAAATTTGGAGTTTAACTTAAGAAATTGAATTATCACAATATTTCTAGGGGAGAAGATTGATGCTAAAAATAACAAAATCCGTTTGCAAAGTCACAGTTATGAACTAGTAACAGCACTAAAGTAATGAAGAGACTAGTGAGATACTTAAGCACTTCAGTTCACAATAAAGCAAACTTCTCACCACATTTTAAGGAAATTCAGGTATTAGCTATTTTTAATTAGTAAAATGTCAGATGATATTTTATTTCAGCCCAGTCCAGGCGGTAGACGAATAAGTTAAACAAGATATTGGTAATACAAAATACGTAAAGCTTAGCATGTAAAAAATGCCACAATTCTGACAAATAAATTAATAAAAATCTGGTTTGTTGAGACATTGATCGATGAACCAGGAAACTAAATCGATTGACCAGAAATGGCCCAAATAGCAAGATAAATATTCCAAAAATTAAGGTGAAAATATGGGTTAGTTTGCTGCAGTTGCAATAAGGTAACAGCAACAGCAGGAGTTTTCAAACATGACAGTTGTTTGAGGTATTCTGCTTTCACAATCTGTCCAGATGAATTCTACCACTGTGATGAACATTCGCCAGTAATGGACTAACTTTGCAGTAACATCAGTTTTAGCCTTATTCAGGTTTCTTTTTAAAGCGTCAATATTTCCGTAATAAGTAGGGCAACCCATGATTAGCTGCCAATGTGCTTCGTTCGAGGAAGTCCGTTTCTTCCTAATACCTCCATTTATAAATATTAAAGTGACGCAAGGGACATGGGGTACTTTCTCTGAATAAGGATATAGGTTAGACCCATGCAAAAAACACGTAGAGACTGTGATTGTGGACTTAAACACGAAAAAAATCTTTCAGAATCATGGCTTACTCAATGGTCGCGAAGCTAACCCAAGCGATTAGTTTCATTAGAGAAGGTACGAAAAAATGATGTCATTAGCTTTCCAACACTCTGCCCATGTTGAGAAAGATGAATATCCTGATAAATGATCCTCTCTTAAACGAATGATAAACCTCTGGATGAACGCACTGAACTTGATGGTCTTTAACTCTGAGAACTCTATGGTATAGAGTTGATGATCCCGAGAGAATAGAACCAAGTGAGGTCAGTAAAGGTCTTCTCAGCATGCAAGAGAGAGGTATCAAATTACTAGCTTGGGCACACTAACACACAGTAAGAATAAGAACTCCTTATTCTGTTCCAATGGAGGTTTGAAAAATTTAGATTTGGTGCAAATAAACATAACGTCTGGCTTCTTCCTCATTCTGTGACATGGCACTCAGTGCGGTAGGGTGATTTTACTGAGGTCATAACATTAGTTGGATGGCACCTCAGGAAGTGAAGACGCTCCAACAATTGTCAATGCTGACTGAGGTCTCACTACGGTTGAATATGGTGAATTAAATTAGAAATCAGGGGACCTCGGTGAGTCTAGACCTAGAGGCATTCCGTTGGACGAGGCATTTCATTTCCTACTTGGGGAGTCTCGTTGATAGCTTGAGGTTGTTGAAGATATGTAACTGTATCTCTGTACTTGTACTTAGGATGCGAGCAAAGAATAAGGGAATGAAGATTTTCTGTTCCATTGCCCAGGGTGGGTGAAAAGGAGAAAAAATTCTTCGGTGAGCAGTTCATGGAAATCTTAGAACTTATAAGGAAGCTGAAGTGGCCAATAGGCAATAGGTAATAATTCAACTAGGATTTGGACAAACCTAGAGATGTAAAAGTTGAGTGAACATATGGAATTAAGGAGGTAGACGAAAGGGGGTTGAAAGTGGAGTGGATTGGGGTAGATATCCGAAGGAAAGCCGGATATTACATGCGGAACTGAAAGGACAAACGTTGAGATTCGACGAGGAGATTGAAGTATCTCCGGCAATAGTGACCAAGGAATTTAAAAGTCGGGATTGAAACTAGAAATAAATGGTTCAGGGAATGGAAAATACAATCGTAACGCAAGGGATAAGGAAAGCTTGGAACCAGCAATTCCTCAAAAGGACGCAAGTGACGAAATGAAATGCTCAAGTCTCACGTCTATTTTTTGACAGATTACGACGGCAAGTTCACTCGCCATGAGCCAGCCAAGGCACGGCCCACCGGAGTTGTGCGCAGGCGCAGAAAATCTCCTCAGCAGCTAATAGGTCGGACAGGAACTACATTCAGCTCTTCAGTGGAACGCAAGGGTACGTATTTCACACAATTACATAAATTCAAAGTGCAATGTAGAACAAAAACTAATTGATCAATCGCAAGATTAGTGCTCGAAAGTGATTTCATGGTCGCATCCAAGGCTTGAAAAAGGCAGTTTCACTAAAATATTCACAGTTAAACATCACGATTCGGAGGCCCGTCGCCATGTTACACCATGTAATCCGCAAGCTAGATTTACAATAACAGATTTTGAGCTTAAATTTTAAGAAAATATTGTGTTTATCCTTACATTGTATTCCTCGTCTAGCCCTCTCAATAATCTATCCTTGATATCGGTTGGAGAATGCTGCATGAGGCCTTATTGGTCTCAAATCGTACAGCGCTCCTACCCGCATCTAACCAACGCGCTAGCCCGACATCTACTGCTGAGGAATTCTACGAGCCAAATGAAAATGACTCCGCCACTTCCAAAGTAAACTTTTCGCCGAAACGAATCCCCACTTCGTGACGTCACCCAACCGTTCGGCTCTCTCCGGTCGTTTCCGCTACCCCTCCATCGCTCGCTGACGTGCGTTTTGTACCTTACGAAATATTGTGATAACGGATAAAGATAAACAACCAACCTTGATTACCGATAACAAGATCATAGTTTCCACGGTTAAAATAGTTTTACTGGTAGAAAGCAATTTTTTCTCATTTTTATCTTTGATTCACCTAAATTTGTGTTTCTTCTCCAGGCAGTTTTGGTCAACAACAATGTGTTCGTAATTTTCAAAATGCACCATTCAGTGCAAGGAGAGCCAATTAACATTCATCTCAAGTACTTACAACACAACTGTAACTTGTAGTCATGGCAGCAAGCAGAGTTATTGCTGCTGCTACCGTCCGGTCAGTGAAATCAAGGAGATTAATTCCTCAACGGGCAGCCTTGGTTTTGGTGAGTATTTAACTATTCGCCCAACTTCCTCTGTTGACACATCTTGCTCTTTTTCCCTCTCTTTGCACGCCAACTTGTAGATGACACCACTTTTATTTAAAAGAGTCAAACCATAAGGTCAAAGCAAGGAATTGTGCTTGAAATTGGCACTCAGTGACTTAAAGATGGTTGTATGCTCTTTACTAAGCCACGATGTGGGCGAGCTCATTGTAATTGCTGTACCTAGGTAATTCCTCTTTCATACTTTTTTGCAAGATTATAGTACCCTTTTGCCCCTTACGCTTACTGTACTTGTTCCTTTAGCTGTATCTTCCTCACATCCATGGTAAACGAAAATTTTATTATGAGCAAAGTTTCCCTCATGTCTGATGACATGTAAAATGGCTGATGCCAATGGCATTTCATGACCTCATTTTCCAGCACAGTAGTACATATTCCAAAACTATCATTATTTCATATTAAGTACACTTTGGAAGCATCATCTAATTTTTTAACGAGTTAGTTACTCTATAATGCATCCTATCAGTCTCTTTGACCTATGCTTCTCCACTTGACTTTTTTCTTCAATCCAGCATGTATTTTAAATTAAGTAGGTAATTGATTAATTTTTTATGTGTGGAACAACAGACCAGGTGCAAATTAAAGCACTCTGTTTATGATTTCTCCAAAAAATTTTAGGTACTTCGAGAATGATTCACATAATACATGTTCAGAAATCAACTAAGTACCGAGAGGACACAAGTATATCGATGGCCAAAGTGCAAAATCATGTATCCTCATCGTGGAGTCTCTTAATTTCTGCTTCTGATTTGTTTGTTGGAAGAGTAAGAAGCTAATTATATAGCTTAAAATTCATTCAAAATATTCTGCTGATTAAGAAGAAAAATCCAGGAAGTTTTCAAGTAGCTACATCAACCAGGTTTCTTGAGAAAAATCAAAGTATGGCTAGAAATCGGCAATGTTGCATATGGAGATACGTGGTTTTGCTTTAATGATAATGAATCTAACATTTATGACACACATGACATAAATAAACATGATATCATCTGTATAAGTCTTGTACCATTCAATCAGTTTTTAATTTATTATTTTGCTTAGAAATTGATCTCCTAACTCTCTGAATATGTGAATCGTTCTCTTGGTACAATTTTGAAAAGGAAAGACATAACTGTGTGCCCCAAAATTCATACATAGTTTTATGACCCTTGAAAGAAGTCGAGTTTGCATGAATGTCCTACATCACCTGCAACTTAAGAATAAAAGTGAATCTAATCTCTTTTCTGATTCGTCTATTCCGGACAGTATTTCAACGTATCATTGGCAGAGATTTTTACATCTGCTATTCCAATTCAAACAGAGTTGAAGAGATTAGTAGGAAAGATATTGGTTTGAGTGCTGAATCACTATTTTTATCAAATCCATAGATATAGCTCATGGAAAGGGTCATAATTTTTTTCGGCTTTCTTCTAACAGTAAAAATTTGCCTAAGAAGAAAAATGCATTGTACTGAGAACCGTTTTTCTGTAACGTTCTCTCTATGGGTCCCATAGGATTATTTGAGATGGACTCGCATGACTAATGCTAAGTACTACATTATTTATAAGGATCCTTCATTGTTTGTGAATTAATTTATTCAGTTGCGACCTAAAATTAACTGTGCTGGATTTTCTTTCTCCTGCCCGTATGGGCTTGAGTTTTTCTGTACAGCAAAACTACAACCTGAGATTGCATCGTTCCTTGGTATTTGGAGGCTTTATTTTGTGATTGCACAGCCTCTTAATCAAGCTCATGATGTCATATTTACAGTTTTGAATACGGTTTAGTACCTAGTCAGCATGTCAAACATAGTTCACTCAAGTTTTGGTTTCGGTAACATTCCTCTTGCAATTTTTTTAAGGGGCATGAACAATGTTTTTTTTTTTGGTGACCCTGAGTATCATTCATCAATTTGTGTTTTTATCATTTTTCCACAGACTCCAGCAGCAGTGAACAAGGTGAAAGAAATCCTAGCTGACAAACCAGAATATGTAAGTTTTATTATGGATGACATTCCAAATTGTATTAACATCAGCAAAGAGAAAAATAATTAAATAGCTGCCTTTTTTTTTACCCACCCACAATCAAAAATGCTTATCAGCTAGAGTTTGGAAATGAAGGAACATAAAATTTTCAAGCCTTTTTTTTTAACTAATTTGGTAGGTATGTTTGAAACTACAAAGGCAGCTTCTTAAAAGTTTTTAGAGATCAGTAGTGAGTAACACTCTCTTTTTTTATCAATAAAAGAGTGATTGTGAATCGTAGGAGAAACGTTTTGACCCCTAGCAAGCTCTCAAAGGCATGGGGCATTGTTGCATGGCAGGGGGTAGTAGAAAAGGCCTTAGCTCCATTATGCTTATCTTGCTCCTCTGCCAACAATGGAGATGTTGCATGTGTGAGGAATTTGCGATTTGACTGTTGATTCTTATGTAAAAGTTTGCAAGAAACACGATGGTGCCACTGGTTTTCTCTGAAATCAACTCCCAAGCTCAAAAAAAGCGCTCAAAGTGAGGCCAAAATGGAGGGGATATCCCACTCTACCCTAAGAGTCCACCTCTACATCAAGACAAACTCTCCATGCAAAGATAAGGAACAAATACCTTAGCAGGGTTGCCGTGATTTCAGTTTCAGAGTCCCCAAATAAGGTGGCAGCCCTGTCAATGTATTTGCTCTCTATCTTTGCATGGAGAGTTTGTCTTGATGTAGAGGTGGACTCTCAGGGTAGGGTGGGATATCCCCTCCATTTTGGCCTCACTTTGAGAGCTTTTTTTGAGCTTGGGAGATGATTTCAGAGAAAACCAGTGGCACCATCGTGGTTCTCGCAAACTTTTACATAAGAATCAACAGTCAAATCGCAAATCCCTCACACATGCAACATCTCCATTACTATGGCAATCCTCCCTTTTTATTTATCGGATAATAATTTCTCTCAACATCATACAGCAGTCTCTAAATGTTTGTTCACTCATCTTGATACTGCCAGATAGTACGTGGGATGGAAATTAAAATCGGTCGTAGGAAAAAGGTGAGAAGTAAGTATGGAACGAAATAAAAAGCAAGCATAAGCCAAATTTTTTGCAAAATAAAGCAGAACTGTTGATTGGGTCCCAAATGTTTCTAATGAAGGGAACCAGGCAACTTTCTGGAACTGAATCCTGATCTGAAAGCTGAATTTTTTTTTTTTTTTTTTTTTTTTTTTTTTTTTTTTTTTTTTTTTTTGAAATGCAGTATAAGTAAGTATGCCCAGGAGGTCACAAACCTTTGAAGTTGCAAAGACTGTAATGTATGTTACTTACAGCTTCTCAGTTTATGGCATAACTAGCCTATCCACCCTCCTTCAAGAAAAACCTTGACCATCATTTGAATCCGTTTTCTGTTCAACAGATAGGCTTAAAAGTTGGTGTCCAGCAGCGGGGATGCAACGGCCTCAGTTACACTCTAAATTATGCCACAGAGAAAGGAAAATTTGATGAAGAGGTAGTTCAAGATGGTAAGTCAGCTCATTACGTAATGAAGTAGAACTCAAAGTAAGAAGAAAAAATTATAATTGGGTCAGTATCATACATTAGTGCACTGTCGCCCATTGATAAACTATTAGCACCTAATTATTTTTAAATACATTTTTCTTAAAGCAAGTGGTAAATGCCAGGGTTGCAGAAAATTCCAAAAATGCTGTTTGTTTGCTGAATTGCAATATTTTTTTGCCTCATGGTCATATTTCTCACTTGGCTGAAAGTCATTTGACCAATTCTATGGTAAAATGCCTGATTTAACAATATAACACGCAATTCCCCTCATCACTTAAAGTGTTGAGTCAGAAAAAGAATATCATTTTAGCAAATTGCCTTGCGTTTGCCATGATCATAGTATTGCAAGATTGAGCATTTCGACAGCAAAAGTTTACAATCATATATCGTCACCTTCCAGGCAAAGTATCACAAGCGCCATGCGACGTTTAAAAATTTCCGCCGCCATTTTATTTCTTTACTGAGAAATTGTTGGTTGAATCTGTTTGGAAATTTCCCTAAATTTTATCGGCAGCACAAAGAAAATTCAGTGAAATTTTCGGACAGCTTCGTCGAACAATTTCTCTGTAAAAAAATAAAATGGCGGCGGAAATTTTTAAACGTCGCATGGCGCTTGTGATACTTTGCCTGGAAGGTGACGATATCTTGTTTCCGGAGTCTGAATATCTCCGCCTCAATGTTAAATTTTTAAAGGAGAACAAATTGACATCATTCCTTGAAGTTTATGCAGAATTTTCTTCGCGTAGAGAAGAAAAATCATGGCAGTTTTAAAGAATTGCCGTTGAGTAGTTTTCCGTTTAAAAAATAAAGTATGACAGGAAATCTGCGAGCTTGCAAACGGAGTTATGCGATTGCCGACTTACACCGTCGATTTTCTGCAAAAGATTGTTGTTCTGTTGAGTGGATGAAACTCAGATGGCTGTCTCCTCAGTACCCTGAACAAAATGCTGCTGACTGGGCGATGGGAATTTCATGTGCTGTTTTCTAAATGCTCGCCTTAGATTATTATTACTTGAGATCCGATCATGCATTGTTTGTTCATTTGCATGCTTCAGCATTGAAATTTTTATCTACATACTGTAAATTTTAATAAATCCAATTACCTAATTAACAACAAATTTAGTCTTCATGACGGTAGAAACTGTTAACTGGGCGAACACATTTTGAGTGACTCCTCTCTTTGGTGTCAATAAAAACTTCTACTCGTATTGATTTTTACAGTTTGAGGATTTCTCACCTTCTGCACCAGCATTTCTAACTTAATTATGATTTTAGATGAATGAAAATGCTTCTAAAAGGCGAGAACAGAAAAAGGAAAGTATATTCTCGGCAAAAATTTTGGAAAAGAGGAGTGGTTAGTTTAGAGATTAAATTGCCTTTTCTAGTTTCACCAATTCTTGTTTCATTTTGGCAGGTATACGAGTCATAATAGACAAAAAAGCTCAGCTGACTCTTCTGGGCACGGAAATGGATTTTGTGGAGACCAAACTATCGGCGGAGTTTGTCTTTAATAACCCAAACATTAAAGGAACATGTGGGTGTGGAGAAAGCTTCTCTATTTAGTCTCATCTCGAGGTAACTTTGAAATTAGATGGCTGTGATTTGGAAGGTCAAGTACTTTTTCATTGATATTAGTCTTGATTTATCTGTCTCTGTTCTGAATCTTCTTTTGTGTGCGCGTGTGATGATGCTAGCCTTATAAATTTATCAAATACGAACATTTTTTTTTGTGAAACTTTTAAACTTCTATCGAATGAACAAGCTAAATCCTCCATTACATTACACAGATTCATCCCATTCTTATGTAAATGCCTCTTTTAAAATGTTCTAAATCTAAGGAATCTATTTTCAGCGAACTCAGTCAAAGTTGATAAATCTTAAATTTATGTCAATATCTCAACACATAAGAATTGAAAAATTTATTTGTTGCAGAGATTTACCCCCCCCCCCAATTTTTTAGTCTGAAACTGTCTCCTCTCTAATGAAATTCGGCAAAACAATTTAGATCAATTTAAAATAATTTCACTGTTTAAAGTATCTTTTCCCCTGTTGGTTGAGGCTCTTTACTTAGTTGTCACTCAAAGTGAAAGAACAAATAATACACTTTTAATAATTTTCTCATTGTACATGTGAAATAATGTTCTTTCTCATCCCCCAATGATTTTAGTAATAGATGATTTTGTCAAGTTTTTTAAGTTCCTCTGACGCCTGAACTTTGTAATGAGAATGTATCTAATTCCCCCTAATGATGATCTAATCCGCTAATTAATTATCTCAACTTATCATTTTGTAGCAGGATTAAAACTTCCTGTCGAACATTACTGTATCATTTTGTAAATAGTGTAGATTTTGTTACTTCAGTCAGGACGTTGTCTAATGCTGTGTAAATTTTGTTGATAATATATTTATTTTTGTTTTGATTTCAATCTGCTATTTTTTATCCATCCCTTAATAACGAAACTCTTCTATCATTTTCATTGGCCTGTATGTATAGAATTACAAGGGTTTACCCAAAAGTAATTTTCCCTATTTCATTTCTCAGGAAGTATCATAGATAAAGGATATCTGTGAAAAGGGTTTTGTGGGCCATACTTTTCGCATTTCATCGAGCTACAGTTGTTCAAATTTTGTTTCTGCATCGCCAAGCTATTTAACTTTTTATGAGTTCACCTCCGCTCCCTGCGGATCCGATTATGTCCACTCCTGATTAAGCGCATTGAAGGTAAATGCTGGTCCATCTCCTTATAAGCGAGGATCCTCAATACTTGGACCTATTATCATTAATATCCATGCTTCTCTGCACGGTAAGTTTTCTGATAAAGGGAGGTTTTTTGAGAGATTTTTGCTCAAGTCATTATAATTGGAAAATTAACTTGAATCTTAGTTGCAATCAAACCTTGGTGTTTGACCTTGAATGCTAAATATCATGTTAATTAAATACCTAAATTGGATCAAATTTTTTGATCAGCTGTGAAAGTTCATCTCCGCAGAAAATTTTACTGAAAAAAAAAATTCCACCAGCAAAGTACCAGAGCCTGATTATTGTGCCTTCACTCACAACAGGACAGTGTTCTATATACATGGGATCAATTTTTTTAAAAAAATGTAAGCATGCATAACTGGGAAATTTTATTCAAATTATAGTAAAAAGGATATTTTCACGATGATTCATCCACTGAAAGTCAAACAAATTATTTCTGGAGGAATACATTTTTTAGAGAACAATGTTGAATGGGTCAAATCAACCAATTGTTGAACATTCTGAGAGTTACTAAAACTTTAACTGTAAATTTGTTTTAAATGAGAGGACATTGTAACACTTATAAAAGTGTGAGTCAGTTTTCCGCAATGCTTTTAGTTCAACAAGAATTGTTACTAACAAATTTTGGCAATGAACAACTGTGTAAAAAAATAGAACTTTGATAAAATACATCTAAAAGTAAGTAGGTATACAACAATTTTTCTTTAAAATAATTTTTAAGAAAAATAAGGGTAAAATTCTGATTTAAAATGCGACACAGAAATTTTTTGAAAACACAGTCTTACTCTATTTTTTGTTTCAAATTAATTACAAATACAGCCTCTCTCGATAATTCGAAAATCTCCTTGGCACAAATGAAAATTCTGATCCCTTCAAAAAACCCGAGTAATTCAAATTTTCTTTGAGGTGCTTTCATAGATTCAAAAATCATTGCGAACGTTGCTGAATTGCCAGAGAAAAATAATGATGATCTGACAATGAAGAAGCTAAAGAGACACTCTCTACAAAATTCGTAGTCAATTCCAAAAATGCTGAATCGTCTAAATCTGTAAAAGTAACAATGTATTTTCAGCTTTGTTCACAATTGCAGAAAAAGTCTATTCAGCTCATTAGAACTTCCTCACTCAAACCAGAATCACTAACTTTCAAAATTTACTAAACACTGAGGTATGCACAAATTCCCTGAATATCCTTGTGTTTTTTAACCCTCTTTTGCTCCCTTTGTAAAAGCTGTTTCTTTAAATTGTCTGCATACTGGAAAGGTTTATTTCACCTTTCCTTACTAATTAGAAAACTTGAAAACTTCAAAAATTGCTCTAATTTAAATTTTCCCTTAGACTTTGAATAATTGAGAGGTAACTGTATCGAAATGATTCAAAACAATAAAAAATTTGTATTCAGTATCGACGAAAGCTTACCGAGTGTTCAAGCCTTCATTTCTCCTCAATATAGAAGAGATCAATTACAATCTTCCTGAATAAAGGAAATATCATGGACATCAGGTTAGTACGTTAGGTTAGAGGCGTCAACTTTAAAGAGGAATATGATAGATGACCTACGTTTCATTCATTACCTGGTGAAATCAAGGCATTCCACAGTCTAATTTCGAAACAGATTGAGCTTAAGTTGAAACTACAAATTCTTTCTGTTTTGGAAAGTGTCAAAAATGATTGGCAGGAGCACTACAACAGTTTTGGTTGCTGTTTCAATGCGGTGATGTCTAAAACTTTATTTGTTAAATGCTGCGGAACTTGATGCAGGTGGTGGTTTTCAAAACGGGGCTGAGGATGGTTGAAATTTTCCTGAGGACAGCATTCCATCGTTGGAGGAAAGTCTGGAAATAAATAGTGATGCAAATAATTATTACAGGACTAGCAAAATGCCCGCGACAGAAGTCAAAGGTCTAGATACTTTCCAATAAAATGTATTTTTAATAATTGATCATTTGATTGATTGAGAAATTTACCACAGCAATAGACTGGGATCTTTACTGTTTTTATTATTTGTCTATCGAATCCATGTCAATTGGTGAACATTTTTCTGTTCCTCAGATTAGTTCATGTCAATGTCTCATTCCTATTCTTTCTCTTTTCATTTTTTCCTCCTCTCCTTTTCATTTTCTTTTTCTTCCTCTTTCAGCTTCTTCTCCTTTTTTCATAGATTACCATGTTGATTTTGAATTTTTTTTGTTAGAGGTTAATACATTGGCAAGAATGTCAGATGTTGGCGCGCAACAGCATTATTATTTCAGGACGAAGTCAGGTCACTGTGCTTGACAGGTGAATATTTAAAAAAATAGACAAATAAAGGTCCATGCACAGAATACTATGATATTTGGCACCGGTTAATGGACTACGCAGGGAATATAAAAAAATTGGCACTGGCTAAATTTCGATATTTTTTTTATGGTAGTCCTTATTAACTTCCGACAAAAATGAGTTTTTAAAAACTAACTTTCTGTGAATCAATCTTGAGAAAATTGATTGTGAAAAGCGCATTTTTTGGAGAATTAGTCATGTTGAGAAGTGATACTTTTGCTGAGTTGAAGATGCTGAGCCTTTGGTATTGAACTGAGTCGACGCAACGTCGTTGATTTACCTAAAAAAACGGATAAGAGAATGAAACGCATACCTTGTTTCAATTCAGCTGGCATTAGGTGATACCGTTCCAGATACCTGAGGGTGGTGAAAGACAAATTGGTTCCTCCATTCATATTGCAAACGGCAATATCTTGTTGAATACCAACAGCTGAAAGAGGCAAATTTCACCGGCCTTAGTAATTTATTCAGATATTTTTTTTGAATTTTTCACTTTGGATCACTTTAATCATAGAACACTTAATACACATAACTCAAGATAGAAATATCTGCTCTTATACAGCTAGTAATCTTAAGAAGCTATGATTATTGTACTCAACAAATTTCCTGGCAAAACAGACCCTTAACGTGCAGCTATATGCTATGTAGTATGATTATACTACATAGTATCATCAAATTAGTGAAAACGTATTAAAAATTTGTACAAAAATTAGGAAAACAAAAGATGGTCATTGAAATAATAGGTAAGGGAGAGAGTGAGAGAGAAGGAGCATTATGATGTCTCTCCCTTGCACATTAAGTTAATAAGTAGCGTCCAGTTCCCTGATTAATGATTCAAGGTGTACTGTTCAGTGTTTAAATTAGAAAAAAACCAGATACATTCTTGAAATCTAAAAAAAACTCTACATAATTTATGAAAGGTGAGAGAAGAAAAAATTAAAAAAGAATAAAAAAAAATCAATCTTTTGGAGGGGGAATACCCACAAAGAAAATTATTTTCTGTTTTCCCCCTTGAAACGTGACATTCAGAATAATTATTTAGAGGACTCTATTCAGCCTAAGAAAATACCGAAAACATCCTCAGAATCTGCGATAACTCGATTTTCGAGATCGTGAAAACATAGAGAACTGATGCTGTTTTAAAAGAACACACCAAAAAACTCATGTAGCAAAATAATTGGGATAAGGTATGGGAGTTGCCAGAAGACAGCATATGGATACGCTCCACTTGAACATTATTTGTTTTTTTCTAGCAAAAAGCAAAAACCCAGTGGCTGGAACAATAGAATTCTCTCTCATTTGTAAAGGTCACTGTCTTTTTCCGCAGAAAAGAAAAAACTAAAACTGAAAATAAACCACCCTACCATTCGTAAACTGATCCTTATTCAGATACTTCATTGCAAGCTGGTTCATGTGTAGACTTAGATCTGATTCTCCTAAATTGTGCTGATTTGGAATTTGATTAAAGTGAGCTGGAAAAAGCTCCTGTCCCATTCTGCAAAATGAAAGGAAACACTCGATATCTTCCACGTAAATAGTAGTTTGTTAGAAACACTGCCGTGCTAAGTAAGAACATCGCATGAACATTTGAGAGTTGCCTAATTTCCCGCGATAAATTGTTCATCTTTTATGAAAGTTATGAATATTTCACTTTGAAATTTTCAGGACTTTTCGGTGGAATTGTGAGCAAAAGTATCTGATTAACTCTAAGAAAAATATTAATGAGTCAACCAGGAAATTCGAGTTTTATTGAAGGAAAATTGGCAACGCCTGAAGGTTCATACAGCGTTTTTCCTTAGCACGGGGGAACAGGGTTGGGGTCCTCTAACCAACAGCAAAGATCTGTTCTTGAGTTGGACGTGAGCAAAGTTGTTGCTTCTCTGAATGATATTGTTCGCTTATAGTTTAAAATCAATAAGAAATGGCTAAATATTTTTTAAGCTGCCAATATTTTGGTCTCTTGAATCGCCTTAGTTTTCTACAACAACACACTACACTCTCTAACGAGGCCTTTTTTCTTACAGTTTCATCGATATTAAGATCAAATAAAGCTCATAAGATATTGAGATTGATTTCATGCAACTAGATTTGATGAGAAAGAGCAAAATGGATTTTCTGATGAGAGAGAAGTTTAATTATCAAAAGAGAGTATTACTAAAAATTGATGAAGGAATGAACTGTTGGACACAGTATGAACTAAAACTTTCAATTCTTGTTTTCTCATCCAAATTTGATGCTAAGAATGTATGAAATTAACTCATGAGCAAGAAATTAGAGTTTTCAGTGTACCATAGGATTAGTCTAAATTAGTTTCCTGTTCAGTGAAAAACCCTAAAATCACCATCAAAAACATAAGTATAAATAGAGAATTTGCAGGTGTCTAGAATTTGATGAATTTCGTGTTTAAGCGGAAACTACTGAGTGAACTGAACACTGGGATACCCTTGGTTTATGAAGCGACCAATTATTGGAGACGATATGACAAAATGATCCAATTTGCTAAAATATGTATGTTTCAATGGGAAATGCCGCCAGATGACGTCACTAGGCGGTGCATTTTCTCACTTTTAAATCTATTTCTATACTATTTCCCGTATCCGAAAAAAATTATAAAAAATACTGTGAAATCAGCTCTTTAAGCACTTTCAGATGGAAAAAAAAAAAAATTTGCATGCAAATTCTCCTTTAATGGATGTGTTTTTGAGTGGTACCTAGATAAAATTTTGATGATTTCATCTTAATGTTTTATTTCTATTGATTTGACAATCTTCATGTATTGAGTTGCTTCAGTGTTAACCCTGTTTAGCTGTCCATTGTGGGATCTACAAAATATAATGTAGACTTTTTCCTTTCTTTCTCTCATTCTTTGGAAATAATGTGATAAAATTAAAGTCTCACCTTTTTTCACAAGTATTCTTTTCATCCACACCGCCAATACCCATTTTATGAAGCTGTTCAAGGGTTGCTTGTCGGATGGAGTTAATGGGGTTCTTGGGGACAGGTTGAGACTGTAACGCTGCCTCTTGAGAATTCTGTAGAATATTGTTTACTTGCCCCTGTAAGATCGTTTTAGAATTAATTAATTTTGTTTGCACATCACAAGTTCAATTTTAAATTTTTTTTAAAAATTTTTCCATAAGACTTTCCTGATACGGAGTAAAATGTATCATACAAAAATAATGAATTTATTGGGCTAGACTTGGTCAAGCACTCAGCATAGCATTAAAAAATGACAATACTTCCTCTCTACCCTAGGGGAGCGAGAAAGTAAACATTTTTAGTCGGAAACTTCTCCTGGATAATTTCATCAGAGTAGCTAGTTAAAAAAGAAGATTCTTATAAACCTTGTGATGCAAATTTGTCTGTGCACTTCTGGTATAGCTTTGGCACTAGAATGAGAGAGCACAGGATGTTTCCTCAAAATAAACTTCACATTTCGTGCAGAAAATGAGCGCAGTATTTTCTGCCTTGATCTACTTTTTCATTTTGTCAATTGGTAGAAATCAAACAGATATTTGTAAGGTATTAAAATTGGAAGAGTTGTGTGACATTTTTGCGATTTCTAGAAAATGCTCATTCAGTTAAAAAATTCATGAAAGTTAAAACATAAGAGAACAATGAACTAAACTGAAATACTGAGTCGGAAAAATGAACAACCTTGGTTCACTTCTTTTGAAAACAATTCCTTTCATGTGTCATACCCTTCATTCATGATCAAGCATGAGTAAAATTATTTTTCAAATAGTTATTCCAATTTTAAAAAGTACATTACTCGTGCATTTTAGGAAGTGCATTAAATAAAATTACAACAGTTGACTGTTGGTTGACCCAAAATGTTATGATGGATTAACAATGATTATTTTCTTTTCTTTCAGAGAAATAAAGATTAACTTACGATGACATTGTCGTAGAATGTCCAGCCATTTTGTTTTCCATTGTGATTTAAATTATCTGGGTTTTGCTTCACAGACTCTACACTGTAACACAACAGAACATTATTGAGGCTCAAGACATGAATAATTCCTCACAAAGAGAGTAACGAACATCTGGGGGGAGACAGAATATTATACGAACATGGGTGGTTTGTTCTATTGCATGTACAGATGTATCAAAAAACAAAACAATACAGAAAAGAGGAGAACATAACACAAGGACAAGTGGGAAAATACTCTGCTCATGGCAATGGAAACTCTACTATCACGAGACGTGTCGGGCATTTTTTGAGCATTTCTTCTTATTTTTTACAGTTAGTGATGCCCAAAAAATTGGTAGCCTTATCCCTGCATCATTTCCTTTTCTCTTCTGTATTTTCTTGGTATGTTGTAGGACTGCTACGATGTATTTTCGTCTGGACGTGTAAATATTGTGTACCAATTGTGTTGATAATCTGTTACTGGCTCTCGGCTGTTCCCAATCCATTTCTAAATGAAATCTCTCATGGAACCCTAATCCTTCAAAACTTGGATGTGCGTCCTAAACAATTATCAATGTCTTCCCAAAATTCAATATCCTACAGGTATTGGCTCAAAAGTCCATAAATTTAAAGAGAATTTTAAAAGCACTGAATGTGATTACATACCTTTCATCATCCGAGGAAGAATGGTAATCTTGCATTTCTACATGAACCGATGGCTCAGGAGATGGAATCTGTTCTAGAACAGGTGGTAAATTGGCAGCATTTAATGTTAATGAAACATCGTTTTTGTCTTGACTGAACGGTGACGAGTTAGGTGTGCTTTTTTTGCTCCGATTACTACCTATATCATCTTCGTCACTTACTCTATCCTTTGGTGAGGACCTGGGAGATGACTTATGATTACAGCTACAACAACAATCCTTCTCTGCATCTTTAATTTTTGGTGGTGTCTTTCTTGGCTGAGGACTCGGCGAGTTTCTTTCACAGAAACTTGTCATTACCCCAACAGACCTATGCCGTAGATCGTCATCAGCATTTACTTGGATTCCTACTGTCCGTTTTTGAGGGCTCTGCTGAATACTTAACGCATGTGCCTTTGAGGGTGTCTTCTCCTTCAAGAGCTCATCAACTTTTTCCCGAAGTAACATCAGCTGTTCCGTCTGATTTAAAACTATCTGATACAAATCTGATGTAGAAATTCTTTTTGTCTTCGGTTGTTCGCATGATTCGGCGGGTGAGACAGGAGGAGGATTGAACTGTCGCATTTGTTGTGGTAAGCGACACATTTTGGTGTGCATTTTTTGAACGCAAGTATTGCATTTGCAAGGTGATACCGAGTGGAATGTATCTTTTGGGAGATCTTCGAAAGATACTTTGCGGTCCGAGTTTCTAACAACAAGGTCCTTGGGTTCATAGGGGTTATAAACACCATACTGGTTTAGATTTTTATTGTTGTGAGGAGGCATAGAAACATTCTGATGATTTCCAACACCGTTAGCCAAGGCAACTGCTGAGTTCTGGTTTGGCATTGGAGCAGAGACACTGGAGAATTGGACATAATTCATTTGATAGCCATTTTGAAGAGTGTTTGGATGGCTTGATGGACTTGAGGAAGAGCAAGAGTTGTGCTTGAGCCTATCAACTTGTGTCTCCATACGAGCCAAGTTCATTTGACAACCATTTTGAAGGCTGTTGGGAAGTCTTGATGAATTTTCGGAGGGAACGGATCCAAAAGCCAGTTTACTTTCTGGTATTCCATTCACACAATTAATTTGATAACCATTTTGGAGATTGTTCAGATTCCTTGATGGACTCACAGAGGGGCTGGAGCTATGTTTGAGCCTGTCAATTTGTGCCTCATTATGAGCATGGCTCATGTGATAGCCGTTATGGAAGCCATTAGAATTTTCTGATGAATTTCCAGAAGAGCTGAATTTACATATGGGTCTATTCTCTGACGTCTCCTTAACATAATTCATTTGAGAATTGTACTGAAAGTTGTTTGGCATATATGGAGAATTTTCAGAGGGGCTGGAGCTACGCACTGGTATTTTTTCTGATGCACTATTCCCATAGTTCATTTGATGACCACTCGAGAGACCAACGAAATTACTTGGTGGATTCACTGTAGAATTAGAGCTAAATGCAGGTCTTCCCTCTGATCTTCCGTCATAGAGTGGAGCAGGCTGGAAAGAATTTGGGCGACTGGATACATGGTTAAGGAGGTGAGCATTTTTGAAGCGCCAAACATTGTATGATTCAGAGACTGGTGCAAGGTCAGACGTCTTTTCTGTAGGTTGCTCTGTTGGTTTGATGGTATTGGGTACAGAATCCTTGTCAAAAGGTGATCTGGAATCGAAAATCAGTGAGATCTCAGGAACCTCAGGTTTGTTAGGAATCTCCTGGAAAAAGAGGAAAAAATGTCATAATTTAGAGGCAAGTAAAGCTCAAAAATTGAAGATTGGGCCAAAAAAATGTTTTTGGAACTTCTTATTGGCATTGATCCTAGCAGAAAACATTGTGATAAATTGGTGACCCACAGAAAAGGGAATTAACCACTTGAGGAGCATCAATGATTAAACTTGTCAACTATGCATCTCAAGTCACAACGATGCAGACTTCTTGAAGTATTTATTTTTTAATATAAAAACTAGTTGATATTTCTTGAAAATTTTCTCAACTTATCTTTTCTGAGTACTTGACAATTATTCTATGAAAATTTCAAACCGTAAAATTGGCTTGTAAAAATGAAATAAGAGCAGCGAATTTGAAACGCCGTGAACAGGGTACATTCCTAGTGTCCCCAGATTTAAAAGCTTAACTTCATGCTACCTACCTTAGGGGCTCCACAACAGCTGCCTGGCCTCAGATTATGACCGAGATCAAAAGCCAAGTAGCTTACTGGTAGAGGGTATGGATTTTTGGTTTATCATTGTAAGTATCCGGCACAACTCTTCATAAAGCATGCATGCAAGCATACTAGCGCCAAAGAGGCAACCAGGAATACCGGTTGCAGAAAGTGCTCGACCCTTCAGTTGCAAGCTGGTCAGCACACAACTAATTAATTTATAGTGTGCTACCTGATGGGTTGTATTTTGAACCATGATCAACGGAGAACTAAAACGCCACAAAGTTGATACAGTATTGTAGATTAAGTAATGTATGACTGAGATGTGTCTCAAGATTGTATGTTGATAACTGGGCATAAAAAATTTGAACGGATAGAATTTACCGTAAATGATCTCGGCTTTGGAGCTCCTCTAGGAACTGAATCATCATCCAAATCCATGGTCGAGACAGGAGTGTCTACAATTTGCAACAGTTCTGTTGACGAGTGAAAAACATCAAAGCTTAGATGACGAATGAGAGAATCTTTAATATTTGAAGTAAATTAATATTGTATAGCGTTTGAATAATTGTTGAGACGAAATGAAATTAGTCACTCGCAAAATAGATCACACTGACAGACTGACATTTCCTTCAGAGTAAAGATAAAAATGAAAACACGATAAGACGACACGAAGGACAATACAATAATGCATAACCTATAAAAACTTTGTAAACAGAAAATTTTTCCCTCCATGTGTTTGCAGTAGGTACCAACGTATATCTAATGGTACTGAAAAACTAAATATAACAAACCTCTGGTTCAGGATGGCAAACACCGTTGGTAGTTAGTTCCTCACACGCGAAGCGCGTGTTTCGAACGGTTATTTCAATTGATTTTTATGAGCGACTTTCAGCGAACTGAACGAAATAAGATCAAATATGGTTGGTTTTAATACGATAAAAATAAAATGTATATTAAAAACACTTCAAAGTGAATTGTTCTCATGAACTATTTTTTTGATACATGGACATTAATTCATTTTTGGTCCAAAAATTCTCAGAGAAAAATTAATAGTTACTTAAAAATTAAAGCTTACCTACGCAGCATCTTATTTTGTCTGAAAATGACCTTATTAACCAATCCTGGAATACGCTCATCATTTGTAAGTTCTTGTTCCTTGGAAAGCTTCACATTATAGAGAGAATCTGTACTTATATTAAAATTTTTTTATGGAGGGAGGGAGGTGCCTGTATATATTCAGAACATCAAAATTTTATAAAGGCTATTAAAATAAGATAGTAAATATCTAAACTAAAGTGAACTAAAAATCAATTACACCTTTGAGAACGAGAAAGCACAGTCGTCACCAGCACATAACTTGTGGGCTAGATGAGAATAAATATTTAGGGAGTAGAGGATGTCGTGATTTTAGGTTGATGGATTCTAATCGTTATGATGAAGCTGTGTTCAATAGGTGCTTGCAAGCGTAATTCAAATAGGGGGAAATATTAAAGTCTGCTTGCCACGACTTTACAGCATGATTCAAAGGTTAAAAAGATGCTCTACATGATGTGTCGGAAAGCAGAGCAACACCGATCTAATTGGACTCTGCCTGGTCACATCTAACTGACATTCAACAGTGCTCCGAATGCAAGCTGTCTATTGGAAACAAGGCTTACTGTTGACTAAGCACCTCCACCTCCCCCCCAAAGTGACAGAAATTTTAAATGACTTTCCTCCATCCTGTAGAATTAATTAAAGTTGAAATCGACTTTCCTTTGCACTTGAAAGAAAAGTATGATTCTAACTTCTCCTTTAGTTTTCAAAGCAAGAAGGGACCATATTGGTTTTGATCCTTTCAGTTCCAGAGGTGAAAATTTTTATTTCTTCGACTGATCATAAGTCAAAGTTAGCTTTCTTCCATTTCTCAGATCAATGATTGAAAAAATACTGCATTTCAATGGCTCAATTCAAGAAAGAAGACTTTTTGAACACATTGAAACTCCTGAAAATTCAGGCTGCAGTCAATTCCTTGAAGAGAAACCAATAAGCAGCCTGTGTAAGATAACTTTCAGATAGGGTATTCTTTTGGATTCATGAAAAATTGGTAGGAATCACACATAAGAGGCAATTCCTGTTATATCGTTCCTCATTTAAATTAAATAGATTCAAAGTGTGAAAAACTGTGCGCAAATAATGCAATGATGCATAACTAATCATTTCTCTATTTTCTAACTCCGCAAGAAGAGGGGAAAACATTGAGGAAGTCACTGCAATTATTAATTAGTTCCTACGGGAAAATTTAAGGCAAAAAGCTAACACAAACTTAAGAAAACAATTTTTGTGTTTATTTTATTAAAAATTTTTAGGTCTTAATTACAAATAAAAAAGAGGATAAGCTTAAGCATCGATGGTTCCAGGAATGGCAACTTTGATGCCGGATGTCTTCTGCTGGTGGAGGAATTTCTTCTTCTTAATCTCCGTTCGAACTTTTCCGGCAATCCTGTCAACATCCCTTTGGCCTGATGGAGTGATTCTTCGTCCCTTTTCGACTTTTTCGATCAATTTGCAATCTTCCAGGGACTGCAGGGCCTTACGAGCTACGCTGCCAGCGCTAGGGCAGAAGTGTGAAGGGCAAACACCATTACGTTTGCGTCCTGAAACAGATTGACATTCAATTAAAGTTACTATATGCACTATGATTCCAAGAGAGTTCGCCTGGAAAATTTTAATGTTCCTCATTGGGAAGCAAAGCATGGAAGGAGGAATCTAGTGTTAGAAATTTTAAGGAAAGCTTCAACCTGATCTACCTCTTCATTTGTTTTTCTAACTGAAGATAGAACTTCTTGAGAGTGTTAAAGAAACTACTAACTTAAAATGCCACAGAATTTAAACTGAGAGGGAGCTGCGTTTGGAAAAAAAAAAACTTTGAAATCGTGAAACACAGTTGTAGAGTTTCCGTAATGCAGGGATGCAGAAAGTTCTTAAACTTTGCCAACTGGTCTTAATCTTGAAAAAACCCTTTTTCCCCACAGTTTTCAAAGCAATGACCTTTTTTTGGTCCTTTAACCCTACTTACCGCAATTTCGAGAACTAAATGCTATTCTATGAAAAACACACTTTCACATCGATACACATGATTTCGATCAAGCAAAAGAGCTTTCCTAATTTTTTCAGCCCTATCATGTACAACGTGAACAGCCTTATTATTATGATCGAGTGATCGGAAGTCCCTAGGTCCCTGCTATAATGTGAGCCATTGCATTACAACACCCTATCCAAATGCAACAACTAGCCTACCGAAAAAGGATGTAGGATAAGGTCTCTGAATGATCAAACAGTGAAAACAACACAAAAATTTATGCTGGGCAAGAAGATTACGGCTAAAATTTCAAAAAAGGTTCTAGAATTAGTTTGACATTCTTTTAAGGATCATCCAAAAATAACTTTTTTCCTTCTTTTCTTGAGATCAAATTTTATTTAAAAACATTAAAAATACCATACCTATGCCTTGTTTCTATCTACAGGCATTAAATTTAAAAATTCATCAGGAAATAGAGAGGGTAACAAAGAAGAAATAGAATGAAGGTGACTGAATTTAAATTCAAACAAATTCTCAATGTTACCATTTCACTGATCGACCCCTAAAAAAAAGATTTGTAGGTCATGATATCCAACTTACGGGTAAAAAAAAAAAAAACCCCATCAACTTTTGTTGGCTTCTGCTTTTTGGTCTAAGTTACTTTTATACCTTTTTCCTTTATGATTAATTAACCAAGAGAGTGAAGAGAAATTGAGATTACCTCCAAAGATTTTGCAGACAGTTTTGGTTCCTACAGGCGACCTGAAGTAAATGTGCCTCAGGACAGCTGCGCATCTTGTGTAGTACCAATCTCTGTCAAAAGGAGCTAGTTCCTTGTGTTTTCCTGTTTTCACTACATCTACCCAGGCAGGCACCTTCAGCTTTCCTGATCTGATTACAAATAAATATAAAAATTAATAAGACATATGAACAAGGATTGATTCAGAGGACATGATGATAGATTTTAATTTGAAGTCAAATAATTTGACAGAAAATTTTTAGGTAGGATGCAAGAGAAAACTAATCATTGTTTTAGCTTATTTCTTGCTTTGTTACTGTGTCTTGAAGAGAGCTTGAGTTTGTCAAGTGACGCAACAGGGTAAATGATGCCATAAGGCAGGAACTCAAATTTTTTAGTGCAGGTTTTGGGTAAAAAACATCAATTTTAAGTTTTGAATATGTCAAAGTTTCTAGCCATAATTTGAATTATTCATGATGTTATAGGCATGTGACGTGAATCATTTGTAAAACTAGGAACAGAGCCAGTAAATATTTAACACTTGATTTCTCAAATTCCCTGTTTTTCATCTCTGACTTAGAATTGTTGCCCAGGGGTCAATTTTAGGAAATTTTTGATGTTTGTTGAATGTTCCAAGTCAGGGGAAAAAATACTGGTAAGAAAATAGTAATTTAACTTTATCCTTGTGTTGAATCTTGCAGAGTAATGAAACTTCAAGCCGTACTCTCAATTAAAACTTTGTAGGACTTGGTGGTTTCTGTTACTAAAATCTTTCCAAATCAGATTAAATACCAAAGAAATGATACATCCTTCCCTAAATCCCAAAAGACATTTAATGCAGGAAGACCACACACCTTTCAAAATAAAGGAAACACTTACTTTTTAAGGAAAGCAGCAAAAGCTGTGACAAATTTCTGTTGGTCAACATCTTTGAGCGTCAGTGAACTCGGCATCTGAAATGATATTTACAAAAATCTTAAAAATCGTATTCTCAATTTTTCCTTAAGGCAGTGGAACTCTAATTATACAGCCCAAGGCAAAAGGCAAGATGTACTGAACTACCCCGCAAGAATTACTTGGCTTTAAAATTTAAGATAGAAAATAAGGTATCAGCAGTTTCTAATTCATTTACACAAAGATATTGGTCAGTAGAGGCGTTGTCGGCTAAGTTGGCACTTGTGTACATTTAACTTGAGTGCTATCGTCCAATAGCGGTCAAGGATTGACCAATGGTCGTGGGCGTAGTCAGTCCTAGATCCCTGTTGGACATGGCACATGGCGGTTGCTTGCAAATAGAATGAGAAGAAGTGCCAACTTAGCTGATGATACCTCCAGTATATGCTATTGACGATCTTAGAAATCCACGGGACTTACAGAAAGTGGACCGTGATGTCAAAAATTATGGTGCAATTCAACAAAACCGTAATGTGAAACTTACTTCATGAGAGTTTTTGAAAAAAACTGATCAATCTTCGGAAAATCAATGGCAAAAAAGTCTGCACCACTTACTTATATTTTAAATCTCTTCCTGAAATGAAATGCCATCCATTTGGAACAGGATGGAGTCTGCGCCAATTAAGTTTACGCACTTTCAGACTGTGACAGAAGATACGCCATCTTGATTTATCTAATTCTTTTAAGGGTAAAAGTGGTGTCCGACAATCTGCTGCTGCAGTCAAGAAGTACGTTAACTAACTTCGCATGGACTCTAGCCCGCCTTAATTTCCTTTTATCAGTAATCTATCTTCCAGAGTTGCTACTAAAGATAGTTTCAGCAAAGTATCGTTAGCCTAGTGGCTAACAAAGTACTAATTATAATTCAGAGGAACAGGCATAATAAGAAAAAGGTTCCTTGCAGTAGAATTGCAGGTTGTGCCCTCTTCAGATGCTACCAGACAGCAACAATTGCAAGTAGCCTGTATTCGCAACCAATTCTGTTGGCCCTACAAAGCTCTCAATATTTCTAATAACGACTTTATAAAGCTTAAAAATAAAGTGACAGCAGAGAATGCAGAGGTTAGTTTTGCAGTATCGCCACAGGCCTGATCGGTGACCACTGTCTCGTTTCGCAGGCGGGGCTTTTAACTTGGGAAAATAACTAAAGTTATGCAACGGGTAGTGCGAAAACTCACACTCAAAAATTCTGAAAACTATTCGGACAAGGTAAATGATCAGAAAATTGGAGAAAAAAGGAGTTTAGATTAGTTAGGCTATCTGTCAACTACTTGTTCACAGCCAACTGGGAGGCCGATCACGGAGCCGGGCTGCCGGGCGGTGTTCTGCAGGTGTTATGAAATTTTGTAGGATAATGTGACGAACATGAGGATTAAAAACTACAAACTGAGGCATCAAAAGGCGAAAAATTACTTACTTTGTCGAAAATATGATTAACAACGTGGTCACAAAGTAACAGCACGAGCCACGAAAAGAAAAGACATTGAGTGATGAGTTGTCGGGAAGGTTGTTGACGATGCAACGTTTACTGCTGACGCCCGAAAACTAACCTCAAAAGTTAATCATAACAACAGCGATCTCCCTGTTCAGCCGGCTCTGTACAGAAAAATGTGTCTGCTTTGTGTTTAACGAGTATTTTCAAACGAATAAGTGTCTAGTTGATGTTTTGACCAATCGAAATCAATATGGTAAGCCATTGCCAAAATTACGTTCGTCTTCAAGAATTATATGGGTTATGGGGTTTTGCACTGTTCCTTGATAGTCAGTCGTTCCAACCCTGTGCTGCCGGACTATTAATATTTTATTTTAATTTATTTCCCCTTATCCCTGTTTTCAAACCAAACAATAACAACTCAATAAGGGTTTCTTTATAATTGGCGGTACTATCCAGCATGGAACTGTGTTCTTAAACTGGTTGGTTGATGGTGACGTCATAACTGATGTGCCACAGCTAGTGGATTCGGAGTGTATCGTCACAGCGCGGCTGAAGCCAACATCTGTGGCTAATGGAGCCATAGTGGAAAGCCCTTTGCATCACATCAATAGCTCCACTGAGGGAAAACCCAACTTTCAAATCTAAAATATGATAACAAAGAATCGATCCCGAAGGAACTGTGTTCTCTAAAATGGATTTGCCAATGTTTTTACCAACCGGTTGATCTTACCTGCGTTTTACCAATGAGAGATTTTCCAATCATTAAAACCCCCTCAAGGTTGGAAGTCTATTGATATATCTGTATAACCAGTAATGCCGTAGCAGATTTTGATTTAATAGGAAGACTGATGCTATTCCTCTACTGTTGTCCCTCCACCTTGTGCAGACTGCTACTGCTCATTCAGAGCCTAACTATTAATTTTATGATAGTGGTAGCTCTCAAATCCTGTCCTGTCCCTTAGTGTTACCAATAAATAAAGATCTTGTCTAATATGAGAATATTAGCTTGCATTGCGTGCTCAGTTAACAACTCCATTTTTTTAAAGCAAGTACTATTATTCAAAATTGAAGAAGAGCTTCATTGTGCATGGAGCTATACCGAATTCTGTCACTGCAAGAAAGCTAATAACTTTACTTCATTGATGTGCTAGACATCGCATTCAAATTTGTCTTCAAAATCTTAACATTTAAAACTTGCTTGGTAAGTTGGAGTTGTTTACTTTTGACTGTCACGCATAGTAGACAATGCACACAGTGGTATCATTGCTCGTGGTCAATCCTTGATGGACATTGGATGACTTCATGGCACTCACTTGCACCTTGCACATAGAAAGTAAACAGCTGTAAACTTATCTGGCGAGAGTTCTAGTAAGATTTCTAGAGTACCAATTGAATTTTTCTTTCATTAAAAATTGATAAATATATTGTAGATCCTCTGATCCCGCAGATCTGTTTTTGTGTATAGAACCAAATTATCAATCGTTATCTTGTTTTTATCTACCAATTTTTCCACTCCCTTCAATCTATTCTTTCCTCTCTATAACCTCCCATGGACCACATAAATGCATGAAAAGACTGATATCAAATGTTTCATTTCTTATTTTCTAGCTGTTCTACTCTTTCTTCAAATCCTTGGTTGGCAAGGATGTCGTAGTCGAGTTGAAAAATGACCTCAGGTATGAACATCACTTTCATTAAGTTTCAACAATTATGCTTTGGATAAAGTGGTGGCACGTATTCAATCAATTACATTTTAAGGTCAACATATTTAATGCAAAAATAACCTGAATTTCAAACAAAAAAGAATGAAAATTCTGAAAGAAGCTTTACAAGGCAATTAAGTTGCTCCTCCTACAATACTTTAATAAGTATTTCCTGGTAATTGATTGATGCTGCTGAATAATATTATCATGCTGTAATGGTAACCTATTGATTCAGCATGATATTAAGTCAAGTTTTTTAGTCTTCCAGATCAAGAAAAGTAGAACTTAATTCTGCTAGAAAGGTAGTAAAATTTGCGAAACAGCATGTTTATGATGTGACAAAGCCTCAAAAATTACTTACTTCCAATTTAAATTTTTCAAATAGAGGAAATGGTAAGAAAATTTGCATCATGTCACGCTTTGGGCAAAAGTGGAATTATAAAGAGTGGATTCTTCTATACTTTTACTTTTATTTTGAAATTAGTTTAATACCACAACATCTTGCACAGGAGTTAGAAGTAACATGAAACTCCTAGCCTTCCACTGAAGGTGCAAAATTCTAAGAATTATTATGGATTTCAATTGGAGGATGCTTTTCCTGGAAATCTGCTCCCATTTGGTGCAATTGCATCATACTTGCCAAACAGATTTCTTCAAATTCTGCGTAACTCAATGATTTCTAAGTAATATCAGTTTTTTTCAAAGCTCTTTTGGAGGGGTGGTCCTTATCTGAAAATTTTCTAATGTTTAAAACTTCAACATGCATACATTTTTTGCGCCATCACTCTTTTTGAAGTTTCATTTCTACATGGCTCCCATAAAAATGATGCAGAATTGAAGCACAGAAACAAACTGAGGTCTAAAATTCATTGAAAAGTCTAAATATTATCTTTAATGGGTCACTAACAATTGAATATTTTTAAAATTATGAACTGAAGAATAAGTACTACCACACATCATGTAACCCTTCTGTGAATAATTAAAACTTTTTTTAATGGCTTGCTTCAATACTTTTGTCTTTTTTCCAGTATATGTGGGACGTTGCACTCAGTAGATCAGTATTTGAATATTAAATTGTTAGATATAAGTGTTACAGACACTGACAAATACCCTCATATGGTGAGTTTTTCCTGACTAATTTTATTTAACTTTCTTCATTCAACACGCTCTTTAATTTTATGATACCCTATCAGCCCCTTAAACTGAAATATTTGGACAGCCCTAGAAAAATCTGGGTTTCACAATTTTTATATATTAATTGCTCACAGCTCCTTTTATCAGCACCTCATCATTGCTGAAAAATTGAACCCCTTCATCATCAATGTTTTTCTCCGTTTTAAATTTAAAAATGGAGAACATATTAGCCAGCAATTTGTAGACAAAAGAAAAGCTGCATTATTTCACCTGCGTTGGAAAAGTGATAACCTTTGAACAGAAATGAGTAAAAATTTCTCTCCGCCTTCACAATTTTTAAGGCACTCGGGGCACGCTGAGAAATCTATAACGCTTTAGGTCTTATTAGACCTCATCAGTAGATCACACTCATTAGTGAGTTTATGACATCGGCACATACAGTCCGAGCCAAATTTTTTTGTATTGTTTTCTTCCATCAAAAGACATGCATTCGACACTCTGTTTACAATGTACGTTGATCAAAAAGTAGCAGCACCTCTTAATTTTGATAGGCAGCACTCAACAGTCAATCGGTCGATGACCTATTTTGATGGATTCATTTAGATGTAAGGAATCAAGCTTAGCAGAGTCGAACCGCTTCATGCAATCAGCCTTGATTTGTGACTCATAGTTTACCTCTTATATTGGAGTTACATTTGAAGACTTGAAACCTTTGCCAAAAATTAGGACATAAGTGTGTCCCTATGCATTTAAAAAGAAAAAGCTACATGAAAAATTTTGTTCTTGAGACTAGTTTTTATTTTAAATATTGTATAAATCTCAGTAACTTCAATTACTACTGAAGTTTGAATTTTAGGAAAGGTCTTGATTTTATGGAAGTCACGAGGCTCTGTTTTTCCTCTAGAATTGCTTATCTCCCTTTGTAAATAGTTTCTGGTGTTGTCTTATAAAGTTTTCTAGCAATATCGTGCTTAAAAAGAGGTGCCTGAAACTTCTTTGTAAATACCTAATAATAGTATTTTAATTTTTTCCCACAGTTATCCGTAAAAAATTGTTTCATCCGAGGATCTGTCGTTAGATATGTCCAGCTACCAGCTGATGAAGTTGATAATCAGCTATTACAAGATGCCACAAGGAAAGAGGCAATGTCATCACGTTAATCAGTGTTCGTAAGATCCAAGGAAAGAGGCAATGTCATCATGTTAATCAGTGGCCACAAGATCCAGAAGCACACAATTTCAGTACCAGATATTTTACTTTCCTTCTCATAAAGAAACTCTCTTTCATGCAATAACTGGTATGTAATGTTCGAAGGCTGCAACCTACTTTCTTTTCCTTGTCTTTTTCCTAAGAGGACAAAATGGGGACTTCAGTTTGTGTTCCTTTTCTATTCTCAGTGATTTCTTTTATCTTAAAGCTAATTTTTTACTTTTATGGTTTGGTAGACTCTTCTTTTTAGAGAGGTGTTAAGGTGACAGTGCTAAACAATTCTCAACTTGAGAGTGAAAAATATGATTCATTTAAAGAATTGTCATAACTTTGCTGTTATGATAACCATGTCTGATAATTTTCTTTTGCAAGTAAAAATTTATTTTTATTACTTCGAAAAAAAAACTATTGGAATTCACCATTTGCAATGAAAGTAAAGAAGGTCTCAGAAACTGTGCCAGAAGTTCTCTATATGGTACAATATCATAATCCTTAAGCTTGAAATTTTGCCCTGTTTATGTTTTTTTTTTCTCTCTGTAATATTAGAATCACTTTAAATTGAATGTTTAAAAAATGAGGCCCCTATTTTTTACGTGAGATAACATTTGATGTCAAATATTGTAATCCTCTCATATGCGGCAATACCTACCTCTCATTTTGTAAGATATACCTCAACTAAAATTAGTTCCAAAAAGTTAATTTACCCATTAATCAGAAGAGGATTTTATTTACCATGTGTTTTGCAAGTAGGCAATCTGTTTATCACCTAATTTTAAGGTTTCAAGGCCTTCCCATAAACTGTCTTCACAAAGAAATAGACAATCTCATAAGTGTGAGATGTCAGTAAGCTTAGATCACTGAACTATTTTTTCTGAATGTATAGTTTTTGTTTTAAAATAATGAACTATTTTAGGCATATTTTCCATTATTAATTGCCCATAGTTTCCTCAATCTCAAGGGTAGATTTTTTCAAGAATAAATTAATAAATGTGATCTCTTCATAACTAGTTCTTCAGTTATTTCATAATGAAACTTTGTAAGATATTTTTAAACACCCATGACGTGCTGAATCAGAAAATCGCCTTTTTTTCTATTGAAATAAGCAGAAAAAAAGTCTCAAAAACTGCACAGGGTTGACTTTACTTAGAAGAAAAAAAATTAAAATGAGTAAGAATAGGTCAATGAGCTGAAAATTTTCCCTTAAAAATAACTTTATTTACAAACATGTACAAAAAAGGAAAATGAATCGAATAAGTATAATCATATCAAATAGTGGGAAATACAGTATAAAGCCTAAACTTCACGTGAACTTGATTGATTAGGATCAATTCATTTTTTAATTCACTAATCTTTGGCACAGAAATTTTATACGATAAAAAAAAATACTTATAAGGGAAAACTCTGAACTATCCTCGATTTTCATACTCTACAAAGTGGATGTATCACTTACTATTTTTACTACTAACACATTGCAGTTTGATGCACAAGTCGTCCAGACAGAATTGAATATTTTACCATGTGCGATTGTTCAACTGAAAATCTCATTACAGAGGGGAAAAGCTCATTTTTGGTTTTTCTAGATCCAGACTATTGAATTATCATTGGAACAATTTTATAGCAATGCTCGCAATCAGCCCAAGCATTGGATCTGATATGCACAATCCTCACAATTTTGGAATTGAATGCCTCTTAATGAATGATAATAAGCTAAGGAATAAGGAAGGATCTTCTACTTTCCATTAAATGAGCTTTGTAAATTGCGGTCCTGAAAATATTTCCTCCAAAAAGTTATAATATAAAACACTGTAAGAACTGAAGGAATCAAATTGGTGCATACCCGACGAAGAAACATATTTTGATTGCATTGTCTCAGTGTTTCTTACTTAAATTTAATTCGTTTACCTACAGGAGAACAGTCACATAAATTTTCCTGAAATTTCTAGTGATTTTTCCTCTCTCTTGTGATAAAAGACTTTGAAATTTTCAGGCTAATTCATGCTTTTGTTCTCCCGCGAAAAATTAAAAGCTTCGTTGAACTTTTCAAGAAGAGCAGACAAGATATGTTCCCAAGAGGAGACAACAAAACGAATCTGTTAAAATTGGTAACTTGGTTCTACTTTGCTAGAATATCAAGCAAAAAAGGTTTAAAAAGGACTGGGAGTAGATTTCCAATTGTTCCTACAATATTGTGTAGTAGAGATTTGATCCAAAGACCATTACCAGCACCAAGATATTTTGCAAGGATTTTTATAGCCTTTAACATTTTATTTTGTAGTTAGAGCACATAGCAAAAAATTTAATACATGATAATATTTACAACAATTTACATAATGCAATTACATACATGGTAAATCAGCAAATTATTCAAAATGCTTGAAACTACTCTCTTTGGTCTAGTTTTTCATTAACGTTTTTGAAGCATGTTTAGTATTAGTATCACATATCAACAAATATGACGTTACCAACATTTTTATTATATCTCACATTTTATCACCCAATCTCTCACCAAACATGCCAGGTAGTGAAATTACAGAAACATGTATTTCAGTTGTGGTGTTTGAAAATTTCCCCTCCTAATTTATTTTCAATAAAAAAACCGACCAAACACCATGGCTTGAAATTTTCTGAGCATATCCCATCCGTAGAGAAGGAAAATGACCAAAATTTCTCAAAAAATAACGTTAGGTAGGCAGTTTTCCATGTAGAAAATCAAGCACAGGGAGGCTGCAACGTCCCAAAGCGAGGCATGCATTCCTGCAATTTCACCATCGATGTAGGTACCAATTGAGAACGACAGCAGATAGAATTGATGATAGCAACATAAGGAGGTATTGCTTATTTAGAGGTGCACCTTCTTTATCTCCTTTTTTGAAGTTTAAATAAAGGATAGGTTTATTTTATTTTGCTCTCTGTTTTTAATTTAGAGGCTGAAAACTAATTAACGTTTTAATAAAATTAATTGCCCCTAGAACATTGCCGTACAGTCATAAATGCCGAAGTGTCTACCAGTAAGTGCAGTCCTATCTATGCACAGCAGAAAATTAATTTTAATACTATGTATCATCTCCTAGTATCTGTGAGCCATATTCAAACTTTTTAACTTTAGTGAACCGTATTTTATCAAACGAATGTCAGCATACCTATAGTTGACAGAGATATAAACCCAAAAAAATGGGTGGAGGAAAATTAAACAAATATCAAAGTGTTTTGGAAGTATTGGTTGTTTTTGAATCTCTTAAATTGATCACCCAAGAGAAAATTGATAAGATGTTGTACACGGGTACTTAAAACAACCTTCAAAACGTTTCCGATCACCTCCTGATTCTTCCTTTCTCTTGAAAATTCAAATTTCAAAACCCAGAATCTCAAAGCTAAAGTACCAGAAAAATGTGCACCTTTCTCAAGGCTTTATAGTTCCCGCTTCCCTTCTAAAGAGAGACTGATACACTAGCTCGCTATTTATAGCTTTGCGGTCAATCCAGAAAAATGATCCTTTAAAATACTTACATATTTTAACCGGCTAGTTTTTTGCACTTTTGATTGTAGGTATTTATGTTTTTGGCAAGTAGACAGCAGTCAAAGAGAAAAAAAAGAAGAAAAAAAGAATCATCTCAACACTACCTGTTTTGACTAGTTTCTTTTAGCACCATAATATACACGTACATTTTTTGGCTCCCAGCTGTATTTTTTTTTGGGGTTTTTTTCTGACTTGGAGGGAAAAATATTTATCCGATTTCCTCAGCAATCTCTGATTCTCTCTCTGAAACTACTCATGACTTGAGAGAATTTCAAATCCAATCATGTAGATCATCACATAGATCATGTAGATCTGCAGTCTATAAATTTCATCTCCCATTAGCTCTTCAAGTATGTCCTTATTCATTTGCACCATATAAAAAAATCTTTCTACCCAAGGTATGCGCTAAAATATTTACAATCTTGCCACACACAAGCATCCACGCCATACTTATCAATGGAAATATTCAAATCTAAATGCCTCATTTTTGCTTAATGCACCACAATAATCTTCTTGATTCTTCTCTGTAGATTTGTCCATGATTCTTGATCTTCACTGCTCAGAGTTACTGAAGTACGAGTTCTGCATGAGATATAATTTGTCAATGGGATTAACTTGGCCTAATGTGCCGTGGAGAATTCCTTCATGGCTTGGTGGCGGGAGGGACAAAGAATCAGAACCTCCCTCATCTAAGTTAGTGCTCCCATCTAGCGAGATGTCCGAACTGCAAAAGCTGTCTCCAGAGTGTGTGGGGTATCCGTCTGCAATAAGAAGGAATTATTTTTAGTGCATGCAAGTATTTCCTTTAAAATAATATTCTCAGGTTCCTAGTTACCAGGATACCTAAGGTATTTAATATTTATGTAGATAGGTAGGTATTATTGACTAAAGTCGAAAAATGTACTTGTCTGATCTGAAGTTCCAAATCTCTGCTCATGTTTTATTTTTCTGTACTAGGGGCAAAATGACTCGCATATGGACCGAGTTTAACAGAAAGGAACCAAGCCACATCAACTATTGCCAAATTTAATTGGGCAATTTAATTTTTTCCATGAAAACGTTTGTGCGGATTTTTGTGTAAATTTCAGTGAATTTCCTGCATAGTACTAAGTAAATTCCCTGAAATTTTCAAAGGAATCCGCACAAACCTTCCTTTGAAAAAAATTAAATTGCCCAGTTAAATTTGGCAATAGCTGATGTGGCTTGGTTCCTTTCTGTTTAACGCGGTCCATATTTTCTTGAAATTATCTGTGAATTAGGTATCTGCATGCATTTATACCTAATACCTAAATATTCACAGAAAATATCAAGGAGATATGTTGGTTCACTATCTCCTTTAAAAAAAAAGTTAAAAAATAATCCGAGATTTATACACATGGGAACAAAGACAAACGCATTTTTTTAAATTGAGCCAAAATTATTCAGAAAATACCTATCCAAATAACTTTTACATGAGGCACAAAATAGATGATAGTAGGCATTAAAATATCCTAAAAAGTGTCTTGATTTTTAGGGATTTATTACAAACCCTGGTAAAAATTGGCGATAGGAGCTGCGTTTCAAAATACTATATGTACAAGAATTCTTTTAGCCGACTAAAGGAGGCGATAGAAAATCATATAGCTGGCTGTAGAAAGCGGAGAAAATCATAGAGCCGGGCTATACGAAGCGATAAAAAATGCTATGAAAGGCTATAAGAAATTGTGCAGAAATTCGTGTGCTTTGAAAATCATTAAGTTTGATACGGAACCACCTTAATATTTACAAAACACACATTATATTTTCCTTTAATACCTATTTTTTTTAATCAAATAAAATGAGAATAATCCATACAGAGCGTGCAAACATTTCAAAATCATGAGTTGAATAACGCTGACTCCGCCAGATTAAATATTAGAGCCTAACACAAAGCGGAGCGGCGACGCATTGGCGCCTACAAACCTAACAGGGATACTTCACGCATTGCGCAACGCGTGAAGTATCCCTGTTAGGTTTGTAGGCGCCAATACGTGTTCCGCGCTGGCCGCTCGCCCGCCGCGCCGCAGCTTGCCACGGCGCTTGAAGCAAATATTTCACACCAGAGGTATTGCACACTTGCACAGTATTCTACGAAATTGAAGGCATTCATCAAAAGTACGGAGCTTTCCTCGCAAAATAAATCAAGATACTACGGCCCAAAAAGAGAGCGGTAGTCCAAAATACTATACCTAGGTCCAAAATACATCAAGACAAACTCTCCATGCAAAGATAGGGAGCAAATACTTTAGCAGTGGTGCCGTGTTTTCAGTTTTAGAGTCCCCAAATGAAGTGGCAGCCTTGTCAATGTATTTGCTCCCTATTTTTGCAAGGAGAGTTTGTCTTGATATAGAGGTGAACTCTCAGGATAGCGTGGGATATCCCCTCCATTTTGGCCTCAACGAGACCTTTTTTTGAGCTTGGGAGATGATTTCAAAGAAAACCAGTGGCACCATCGTGTTTCTCGCGAACTTTTACTTAAGAATCAATGGTCAAATCGCAAATCCCTCACACATGCAACATCTCCTTTTTTTAATCAGCAATCTATTTTTTCCCGTTTATTTTTTATTTCCTAGGAGTATTAGGTACGTTCCAAGGTGGCTTACCATCCGGCGAATAAGGTTGGTTTGGGTTCAGGGGTTGTCCGGAACCAGAGAGAAATGGGGCGTCCCCACTGTCGTGCATGTTGAGGCTGCTTAGGCTCAGATAATGATCTGTAAAAAAGAACCGAGAGGGTATAGCCGTTATTTTCGGTCATGTTCGCGAGATGAATCGGGGTATGGAATTTTCATTAGAATAAGAACAGCACTAGTTCTTAAAAAAGAACTGAGAAGAATTCAAAATTGAGGAGCTTGGAGGACAAGGTGCATACTTAGGTGCAGTTTTTGCTATTTCGAGAAATAAGTTTTCGAAGTTTCGAAATTACATGGAGCCTTATGGCGGAAAGTAAGCTCAAACTGACTTTTTGATACCTAAAAATTGGAATTTGGGAGCGCATTTTCCTCAGAATATGCATTAAGACTGGTTTTATTTGAAAGCATTAATTTCTCTATTTTTCAAAAACTGCGCTTATGCGCCTTGTCCTCCAAGCCCCTCAAGGCGTAAATACACACGGCGATCAATCGCCGCGATTGAAAGACGAAAGCCAATGGAGAGCCTGGATTTCGATACATCGACGTCAATGGATCGAAATCCAGGCTCTCCATTGGCTTTCGTCTTTCAATCGCGGCGATTAAAAACGTCGTGCTGCAGACAGGGAACGAATGGCAGCGCCCGAAGCGAAACGTCTGCCTCTGTCCACCTCAACTGTGAATGTTAAAGCGGAAGCGCGCGCCTTCATTTTGTCTATAGGCAACACGGACATCCATCGAGCAGGTTTAGTCGCATGAAGGCGCCACTGAGTGAGTGGATTCTGATTGCTTCAGACACAGCCGTCGTATTCCTTTAGTCGTTCCTTGAAGGAGGTCCTTCCTCTGGCTTTCATGGAATCCTTTGGGACCCAAAAATGAAGGACGTCACAGCCAAGTGTAAGTTAAAGCGCACGTGAATATGGTTTGTGAATCTAACTTTGTAGTAGTGTTGAGTGTTTTTTTTTTATCAGAATATTTATGGAGAGGGGCGATTCAAAACTTGGTAAGCACCGTCAGGGCAGAGTCCATTGGCGGATTCAGCAAATTAGCAACATTGTGTTTTCTCCATTTAAACCTATGGAAATGTATCGATTCCCGGAGGGACCAGGCGCTTCGACAAGAATCGATTATTTAGCATGAGTTTAAGTGGAGGCAATCCGGTGTTACCAAATTGCTGGATCCGCCTCTACCAGAGCCGGATTAACCGGGGGGTGCTGTCACCACGACGGGTCTTCTGGGTGACTTTTTGTTGTTATTGCCACTATTTTTAATTCTATATCTCAGCAAGAAATCCGACCAGATCCTTTAGGGTTCCATAAAATGGGTAAGGCAGATTTACAGATGTCCTAAAACTGAACTTTTGGGTGTCATGAGGCCCCAAAATTTTAATCCCATAAAATTACGTTTCATTTAATATTGCAAATTTTGGAGAAAACTTGCTTCAGATTTTAGGTCGTTTCTGTTTCCATCGGAGCAATATTCCCGTCATGTTTGGGCTCCAGGTAGCCCGCATGAGGTCAGTGGCGATTTTGCTTGCTGGCTACACTATTATCCCTCCAATTAAATCCACTGAAACTATCGATTTTAAGTAAAACAATCTGCCTCACTAAGAATCGATTGTTTCTCATGCATTCAACAGGAGGAACAAGAGCGTTTCCAAATTTCCAGAATCGGCACTGCACATGAGGTTGAGCGTCCGTAGTCTCCTTACGAAGGCACTCTACCTACGATTCAGTGGCGAGGCGTGGATGATCGATTATCGATATTTCCCCCATTTGAGGCCGTGGTAAAGAATCGATTATTAAGGTGTTCGTCGCGAGCACCCTGTTTATCGATCCTTTTCACAGGTTTAAATGGCAGATCAATCGATTCATCGCAAAACGCACCACGCCTCTGCTACGATTAGTAGTGAACTCTCACCCCACTCACTGTGGTCACTGTTGATTGATTCCTGCTTGATGTTGGCGTGCCCGTGTCCATCACTCTTCTCGTCCTTCTCCGAGCTGGACTTGTCCGTCTCGATCTTGGCCTTCCGCTGGATTTTCTTCATCTTGGCTCGCTGGTTCTGGAACCACACCTGCACTACCCGCACACTCAGACCCGTGTCTTTCGCCAGTGCCTCTCGAACCTGTCAAACAGTCCAGACACAAGGTTAGGTACGCTTCATCCAACGTTGCAACATTTCTACTCGTAAATTGTATTTTTACTGGGAGGCTCTTGGACGTTTTTAATTAATAATGTTAATGAGTTTTCCTCTGACTGCGCGTAGAAAGCAGTATATTCTAAAACATTGAATTTCTTTAGTCAATTTTGCAACCATTTCAATTTCATTGCAATAAGTTTCAATAAATGAGGCCCCTTCAAATAGGAGCTAGGCAACATACACAACACTCAGCTTAATTGCAATATTTTTACTATATAATTGCTATACTTATTGCAATATATCGACGGTGTAAGTCGGCAATCACATAACTCGTTTGCGGTGTCTGAAAATCTCCGCCTCTATGTTATTTTTTTAAAGGAGAACAAATTGACATTATTTCTTGAAGTTTTTGCAGAATTTTCTTCGCATTGAGAAGAAAAATCATGACAGTTTTAAAGAATTGCCGTTGAGTAGTTTTCCGTTTAAAAAATAAAGTATGACAGGAAGTCTGCGACGTCGCAAACCGAGTTATGTGATTGCCGACTTTCACAGTCGATATGCTACTTGGGTAGAGGGGTATGGAATAAGCATGGTTCGTATGTCCTGTCCTGACTCACCTTTCTACAGGGTTTCGGGCTGACTTCAAAGGAGGCTTTGAACTGCCGCCTTTGCGCTGAGGTGAGGATCGTCCGCGGCCTTTTCGGGCCTCTCCTACCGTCGCGAGGTCGGCTTGTGTCGTCTAGCAGCAACTCATCTGGAACCATCCAAACCAAAGCAACTGTAAGAGCAATTGTCTCTGAGAGGAAATACGTAAATGGATTTATTAAGATTCGCCTTCATTTTTGAGGGTAGGCAAATTGGATTGCACTTCGCAAAAAGGAACCAACAGCATTCAATTGTGGCTTAGATTGTGCAACCTACATTGGATCGAATTTGACGAAAAAGAAACCAAACCAAAGCAACCGTATGAGTAAGTGTCTCTGAGAGGCAATACGTGAATGGATTTACCAAGATTCACCTTCATTTTTGAGGGTAGGCAAATTGGATTGCACTTTGCTAAAAGGAACCAACAGCATTCAATTGTAGCTTAGATTGTGCTACCTACATTGGATCGAATTTGGCGAAAAGGAACCAGCGCAATTAGTGTTTTCAAAATCGTGCGACTTCTTCTTTTCATTTAAATCTGCGCAATGTATTTACAGTTTTCAAATTGCCACAATTATTTTCCTTTAGCTTTTACCATTTTTTAGTGGGAAGTAAAAGCTATTTGCTATTCTGAAAGATTTTTTTGGATGATTGTAATGAGGCAACATTTTTACAACACTGTGATCGCGCTGGTTCCTTTTTGCTAAATGCAATCCAATTCTTTGTAATAACATTTTTGAAATCATGCAAGAAATTAAATTTTCAAAGGTGATTTTCGTCTTGAAGTTGTAGATTATTGGGAGTAGAGTCATCTCTACTCCCAATAATCTACAACTTCAAGACACTGATACAACTGATCATCTAAACAAGTTTCATAACTTGTTTAGATGATCAGTTTATATTTGCAAGGTAAAACAATTTGCACAATCTTAGCGATATCGGAATGCTCTTGGTTTCTTTTTGCAGAATTCAATCCAATTGTGCTTCCAAATGCTGAAATCGCGGAATCAAAAATTTTCAAAACTGAATTGGGCGCAGAGAATTGTACTGTTTCGAAAACTGCCACAGATTGGCGATGCAAGTGCGCCTTCACGAGAAACGCTGCAACCTGGCGTACACGCAGTACTAAATACCGCCCATGATTTGTATTTATGCTTGGCACCCGTCTAGCTGGGTAAAGTTGTCGATTTCTCGAATTTTCTGGTACTACATGCAGTCTGGATTGCTTTCCATCATCTCTCCAAACGAGCCGTATGCAAGAAAAAGCGACTTGATTTGAGCAGAAATATTCTTAAATTTGCCACCGAAAAAATTTCTTCTTTGATCCAGAAAAACATTCATTTATGAAGGTGAAATATGCCTGTTTTAGAGAATAGTTTTCATTTTAAAAAAGAAACATGCTTGTTTGCAGTTCAAGAGGCAATCTTTTTCGCAGAAAATTCAAGAACATTTCTGCATAATTCGAGACGCCTTTTTCTAGCGTGTACGCGGCGCAAATTGTGTCGTATTTCTGTGGTCCATACTGTCCTTGTAAAGATACATTACTTAAAAATACCTGTATAAGAATAGTGTGGGCGTCTGGAAGCTTTGATTTCGGTGCCTTCGCATGTGAACAGATGTTTAGCGGTACATAAATTGCCTTCAATTTTGACAGCTAGGCAACTTGCTTACACACACGCTCGAATAGTTGTATCATCCCCCCTTAACATATTCATGCTCGCAGCAGTAGAACGATCGTTTTTCACTCTTGTTCAGGAGTCTAAGTCGAAACGTGGAGCTCTTTGGACCGAAAAGGGCAGCCAACCTTTCCACAAGAGAAGCACTAGAAAAATTTCGCCGCTAATCTTCACATTCAAATGCCAAACCAAGATGACTGACAATGTTTATAGATGAGCGTCCTTCCGCAAGAATAAGAAAATGTATGCGAAAAAACAAAGTCTACTAGGTAAGTGCTTTTAATATTTTTTTCTATGAATGTAGAACGACGGATAATGTTAACTCTGATAATAAGTAATTCTGGGCAATTTGAGTTCATAGGTTGGGCTATCCTTTCAGGTCCTGTAAGCTCCAAGAGCTGATCAGACCGAACATCCAAAATTACAGACATGGCCATACTCGTAGGCGGATCCAAGAGGGCGTAGGGGGTGTACACCCCTTCCGTTCGTCCTATAAATAAGGAGGAAGAAAAGGGGAAGAAAGAAAGAAAGAAAGTAGTATAGTAGTAGAAGGAAGAAACGGAGGAAAAGATGGAAGGACGCCTATATTTGGCTAATTCTTCATGATGCAATTGACTCTTTATCCTCATGACTCTTATTGATTCTCTAAAATGTCGGAAATTTTCTGGGAGAGGTTCCTAGACTTCCATTACGCCCCCCCCCCCCCCCGCCCATTTGAAGTGCCTGGATCTGATTATGATACTCCCGCCCCCCTATTTACTGCCGTCCAAAGTAAAAGCGCCGTATCTCCATTCAACACCTTTTCAATTTTTTCCAACACAGTGTTGTTTTACAAAAAAACCTGACAAATATTCATCTTTTATTTTTTCGATATACCTCCACCATTCCATTCGGAACTAAAAATGAAAAATGAAGCTTGATGGCAGTTGAATTGTTTTGTAACATAACAGCACGTGTTGGAAAAAATACAACATTTTGAGTGGAGTTACGTCGTTTTTGCTGTGAGAGGCAGTTCAGGTCCTCTGTTTGACTCCAGAGTCCAGGGCGATGGAGAAATGAAAATAAACGATAGGGTGCTAAATTGGAGTAAAGAAGACGTCTCGTTTCGTTGATTCGTTCCGGCGCGGCGTAGCAAGTTCTTTTTCCGGGCCGATGACTCGCCGGAATGGCACGCGGGGTCCGGGGCCGTGCTGGCAAGGGGTGGCGCATGACGTCCGCGCCGAGGGCGAGGGGTAACAAACTCTAACAAGGGCAGCTCCGGTCCCGCAGTTCCACCGTTTTCACGCCGGCGTGGGATGGGGCGTTGGGGCGCCGGCATCGTCAGCAATGCGTAGCCGACATCTTTGGAATTCTTCCGCACAACTATCCGCAATTTATGGCTCCCCCCGCCCCACGCCCGGCTCGCACGCTCAGGGAAAAAACCTCGGTTATACGAACCGATAGGTTCCGAAGGCGCGTTTCGGTTTGGAAGACTGAACCCTCGGAAACCGACGCGACGAGACGTTTCCCGTTAACAGAATCGAGCTGAAAACGGAAAAAACGGGTTGCGTCGGAGAAACAAGAAAGGTAGGTCAATTCTGCCGTGCCAAGGAAAAACGCCGTATGAGCCTTCAGGCGTTGCCAAATTTTCTCTAGCATATCCTTGATTTAAAGGAAAATTTTTGAACATTTTCCCGCCAATTTCTCAGAAAACTTTGTTTGTAATTTGATCTGAAGTGTCCGAAAGTTTGAAGGAAAAATATCCATAATTTTCCTCAAAAATCAATCTTTTATCCAAGGAAATGTGGCAACTCTCGAATGTTCATACGGCGTTCTTCTTTAGCACGGCAGAATTAGCGTTACATTTCAACCTCTTTTCCACCCCACGCTGTCTATTCAGGACCGCAGCTTATCCCAAACCCAGCGTACCCCAAACCCAGCTTACCCCGAATCCAGCTTACCCCGATCCCAGCTTACTCCGAATCCAGCTTGCCCCGAAACCAGTAACCCCGAACCCAGCTTTGCGTCTCACAATCAGACCAAAACCGCCAAGGGGCTGATTATTGACGTTTATAGACAAAGTGATAGACAAGGAAGATAAACTGAAAAGAAAGCGATTCTATAGGTGGAAGCGGTCAAGCGTGTCCTGGACTTGAAGAAAAAAGAGATCTGAATCCCAGACAACCTGCCGAAGTAGTGTTTCCGAGCGGTTCCGGCGCGTCGCACCGAAATTCAAATTAAGAGATGATTAGTTTTAGCCGGTCGGCTTCTCTTTTTACTCCCCTGATGAATTCTGAATAAATAGAGCCAAATCGGTACTACCTAGTACCCGTTTGTTTCGTGGCAGATCCGCAAAAAAACTCAGGAAATGCGTCATTCAATCATTTTTCTAGTTTCGCTAAGCTCCTCCAAATCTCTTCCAAATTTTTCTTGCGGGTTTTGTTACCAGGCAAAATGTCTCTATGGAACTGAGTGTTTCCTTGGACATTTTTGAACCACCTATTGCGTCACTTAAAAAAAAAAAAAAAAAAAAAAAAAAAAAAAAAAAAAAAAAAAAAAAAAAAAAAAAAANAAAAAAAAAAAAAAAAAAAAAAAAAAAAAAAAAAAAAATTGTGGAAGCGGATGGTTGCGATGGGCAAAGAAGGTATGTAATAGACCATCTAACGGCAACCCACGCGAGACTCTGTAGCTAGTCTAGCATTTCCCCCCTTAGTCTATAGAAACCATCCGTATCAACCGATAGGACCACTGGACCACCCTATGTCTTCCTTGTCTGTCAATTTCAATAATCTGCGCGCTGGTCGTGCGAGACGAAAAAAAGTTAGGTGACGTCCTGTGCCTTCGGTGCAAACTCGTTTTTTCCGTGAAGGGTCAGCCCAGCGGACAGACGATTAAGTGCGCCGAATTGAAAAACTTTGGTTGATAGGGAGCACGTTCCATATGAAACAGGAAACGTCAGACAAGAAGGGGAAAGCATCCGCGAAAAAGGAGTATATTTTAGAACTCACCTGAAGGGCTTTGCTGAAGGAGGAACATTTCTTTTTCGAAATCTTGCCTACAGAAAAGCTGTCCGGCACGGAGGACGAACTGCTCGCCCTTCTGGAGGGGCTGACAGCAGATGACGCACACAAAGCACTGAAGGTGAAAGATGTGGTTCTGGGCTCGCATGATCATCTCGTGCGGCAGAACCCGCTCGGCGCAGCGTAGACACTTGGCCCCGAACAACCTGCAACACGCAACACACTCGTATATTCTACGTGTAAGAGATCGTAATGGAGATGTTGCATGTGTGAGGAATTTGCGATTTGACTGTTGTTTCACTTGTAAAAGTTCGCGAGAAACACGATGGTGCCACTGGTTTTCTCTGAAATCGACTCCCAAGCTCAAAAAAAGCTCTCAAGGTGAGGCCAAAATGGAGGGGGTATCCCACCCTACCCTGAGAGTCCACGTCTACATAAAGAGAAACTCTCCATGCAAAGATAGGGAGAAAATACATTAGCAGGGTTGCCGTCTTTTCAGTTTTGGAGTCTCCAAATAAAGTGGCAGCCCTGTCAACGTATTTGTTCCCTATCATTGCATGGAGAGTTTGTCTTGATGTAGACGTGGACTCTCAGGGTAGCATGGGATATCCCCTCCATTTTGGCCTTAACTTGAGAGCTTTTTTTGAGCTTGGGAGTCGATTTCAGAGAAAACCAGTGGCACCATCGTGTTTCTCGCGAACTTTTACAAAAGAAACAGCAGTCAAATCGAAAATTCCTCACACATGCAACATCTCCATTGACTGAGTGGATCACTAAACGGAGAAACATTATTACGGTTATACTAGAGTCCCCTTTATACTGTAGGTAAAGACAATACGAATCCATTTCTGATTGGTTCCCGTATTTTAGGCCTCCACAGTGTCAAAAACGGGAATAAAGATTACATTTTCACCAATCGAGAATTTGCATGGAAATTTTTTATTGCTTCATCTGAAAGTGCTTAAAGAGCTGATTTCGCAGTATTTTTTTTATAATTTTCTTCTTAATTCTTAAACTGGCACTAATTCCTCAATTTCTCAGCCATTACTGCACGAAATTCCTTGAAAATTTCAAGAGCTGATCTGTGATGTGTTCGGAACACATCGGTTACCTTCAAAGATCGTCGGGCCGACGATCTTTAAAAGGCAACGGTCAACAACTGTACCGAAGTGCCAGTTTGTGGGCTCTGGTTTGTAGGTGGGCTGGGCGCTTAAAAGTGAGGAAATGCACCGCATAGTGACGTCATCTGGCGGAATTTCCCATTCAAGCACATGTATTTTAGCAGAATCGGTTTTTTGTCATATCTCCTCTAAGAATTGCTCAATTTTAGAAGGGTATCTCCGTGTTCAGTTAACCCAGTAGATTCCACTTAAACACGAAATCCATCAAATTTTAGACCCTTGCAAATTCTCCATTGCAAAGATTATAAACTGGCAAGAATCGGGACATTGGAGGTACGGGAAGAATGTGGGAAGTGTGTGGGAGGGTTACCTGTCGTAGTCGGGTTTGCAGAAGAGCTTGTTGTCCCTGATGTAGCAAGAGCGGGAGAGAGGGGAGGCGCAGACGCTGCACGCGAGACAGGATTCGTGCCAAGACGCCTCGCCCACCCCGACGCGCATCAAGAAGCGGTCCTGGATCTGCTGCCCGCAGCCCTCGCACACCTCCCAGCATTTCTCGCTTTTGATCGCCTCTGAAACAGACAACATACCAAACATTTCAAAATCACATCCAAACGCAACAACTACAAGGCTTGCACAACGTAGAAGATAGTAGAAAGTCTTAAAAAGAAATCTTACAGTACGAAAAAAATACATTATGAGCAGGAAATGTCAAGTACCAAATAGTAAATCCGAACTTTTAAGATGGAAGTGTTGGTATCCGGATTTCACATGTGGAACTGGCGGCAAAATTCACTTATTCGCGGTGATTTTGAAGTGAAGGGTATGATTATTAGGTGTGGTATAATGTGCGTCCGCAGTCCTTACGCCAAATAAAAAATAGAAACCTCCCCTGAAACTCGCGGATAGTCCAGACTGCGGATAATCGAGGATATGTAACTTTACCTCCATTAACCCTCCCGATGAAAAAATTCTGAAACTCGCGGATAATCGAGGATATATAACTTCACCTCCATTAACCCTCTCCCGATGAAAAAACTCTGAAACTCGCGGATAATCCAGATCGCGGGTAATAGAGTCTAATCCTTTCTAGAGGAAAAAACTCTGAAATTCGCGGATAGACCAGACCGCGGATAATTGAGGTTAATCCTCTCCCGAGGAAAAAACTCTAATTTCCCTCTGGAACTTGATTCCTCTTTGTTGAACACAGCTCACGTTTCCCTCTCAGTCGCGGGGGTGGTATAGATTTGTGCGTTTCCTTGGCAGTTTGTCACCGAGGACCGCACTGCCGTGCTGAGGAAAAACGCCGTATGAACATTCGAGATATGCCAAATTGCCTTCCCTAAAATATTTCTTTTTGAGGAAAGCCATGCATATTTTTCCGTGAAATGTTCAGGACTTTCAGCTGAAATTGCGAAAAAAAAATCTGAAAAATTGCACTGAAAAAAAAATTCTCGTCGTATTTACTAAGGTCCGTTGGTACCTTTACCATCTCACTTTTTTTACCAATTATTGGTAATTTTACCAAGACAGACTGGTAAGCTCATCTAAAAACCGGAATTTTTACTGTTTTTTCCAGGTAAGAATACCACTTTTATTGGTAATCAATTCCCGGTAACTTTGCCATTTTATCTCGGTAATTCTACCACAGTCGATAAAAAATATCGGCGTCCAGTAAAATTACAGAGAAAGTTCAATCGGTAAAATTACCAATTCCATAAATGGTAATTTTATCACGAAAAAACTGGGATCAAATAGAACCCTGAATTCTTGGTAATTTTACCCTTTTCCTAGTAAATAATCTGAGATTTTTTTTCAGTGTGGGAGAAATTTTCTTGCAAATTTTTCCGGAAATTCGAGGTTTACCACGGGAAATTGCGCAACGCCTGATGGCGCATACGGCGTTCCTCCTTAGCACGGGAGCGTAGCCAGGGAGTCGGATGCCGCTGTGGGCCGGGAGCTTTCACTGACACCTGCGGCGACCTATCAGAGCGGTCGAACGCGGTGGGGAGAGGGCGCCCTCGCGGGCACATAAAAACCCACCCGCGATCCGTGGATAGCAACGCGAGTCACTTTGCCGACCCCCCCCCCCCCCCCCCCCCCTCCCCACTCCGTCGCGCAGTCCACGCTGCTGTTGATTATGGCTTAAGCCCCCATTGTTGTGACACCGCCCGGGATCCACTCGAAGCCCGAATAATGGATCATTAAGGAGCATTGGCGGTTCCAGAAATTTCGCAACACCGGATTTCCTCCATTTGAACCTATGGGAATGTATCGATTCTTGGAGAGGCCAGGTGCTCCGACAGGAATCGATTATTTAACATAGGTTTAAATGGAGGAAATCCGGCGTTTCCAAATTGCTGGATCCGCCTCTGGTAAGGAGGGATAGAATTTACCACGCTAAACTGACAGGTACAGAGATTCCGTGTTTTTGCTGACTTTGGGTTGATTTTCTCGTGGTTACCTCAGCCAACACGATTTGGTTGATCTGCACATTCTGTTTAAACAAATCGTAATTTTTGGTTATTCCAAGACAACGCAGGATAATGAAAAAGCTATGCTCATGACTATGATTATGTCTGCCATGTTCAAGGCATAAAACGTTGAATTACAAATGCATTTTAACGTCCTCCGCTTTTTGTCGGAATATCAAAATCCAATTTTAACACCCAACTTGACAAAAATATCGCCCTCCTAAAATCTTGCTTCCGTGAACTGGACTATCTATACTTTGATCAGGGTGCAACATCGCCGGGTGTTAGTGCAATCCATGTGCCCTCTATATTAATGTATGCATTGACAAAATCCTGTGCAACTTATTCTGTAGGATATTCCAGATTTTCCCGTTGAAATCATCGCAGATCAGATTTTTCAACTCAGCTCGAAAAAAAAAATCACTATACCTTCGAAGATTTTACCCTCGCGGACTATAAGGTCCTTCCTCTCGTCAACCGTAACGACATGGAGAGAAAGAAAAGGAATCTGAGATCTTTTGCATACAAGTCCGGATTTACTGGGCAGGTAACCTAAGCAGTTCCTCAGTAACGGAAAATTACGGAAGGAAGGACCGAAGAAAAGGTGCTTTCAATTTTTTTTTTTTTTTTTTTTTTTTTTTTTTTTTTTAAATCTGTGCCTTTTTTCGAGTTATACAGATACATATATGCAAAACAGAAAATAGTTCATACTCAAAATAAACTCTGGAAAAAAGGCTTTAGAATCCACAGTTCAGACTCTTGAAAAAAATTGACAAGAAAAAATACTCTTGATTCAATAGAATTGTCGCTTGAATCACAAAGAAATCGACTTAAATTAAGAGGCTTGACTCTCGATTCAAGCAAAAACCCGATTGAACCAATAGTATTTTTTCGTGTTAAATTTTTTAAGGGTTTTGGCCTATGGATCCAAGACTTTTTTTATTCGTGGACATCATTCTTTGTACATTTTTCGGGGGAGTCCTCCTACAAATTTATACGAGACAGCCCGAGAAAATGGTAACAAGAGCAAAACAAGGGGGAAACGGGAATAAAGGCTGAAATTCAACAATAAAACACCCACTGAGTCATTTTCAGTCGGATTCATACAATAAAACTTAAAAAAAAATTATTATTAATTTCAGTCACAGGTTTTTTCATCGAAATTTTTTAAATTTTCATCGTATTATATCGACTGAAAATGATTCAAACGACTTAGGTGTTTTATTGTTGTATTTTAGCCTTGTTTCCCGTTTTCCCCCCTTGTTTTGCCCTTGATCCTCCCGAAAACGATTTGAGAAACTTTTGGTATAAATTTTTCCCCGTTGGAGTCATCGGGGGGGGCGGGGGCAAAAAGTCGAATTCGGGTAATGCTCCCATTCCATGTCCGTCAAAAGTCCTTAGATTCGGAACTTTTTTGTTCCAATTTCCCTTCTCCATGACCGTCAAAAGTTCATGACTCTTTTTAGATTTTTTCAAAAGTTCATGACTCTTTTTAGATTTTTTCAAAAGTTTCAAGGAAGTCCCAGGAAATGCAAAAGATCGGGAACACTCCGTGAATTTCAACAGTTCCGGGGAAAATTCAAGAAAATCTCAAAAGTTCTGGAATTCGGTACTAGCTCCGGGAAAAGGGAGCACTCAATTCGAACACATCAGAATATAGGAGGTAATAGGAATCTGTAATCCATGTTTCAGAGCCCTCGGCTGGTGAGCTGTCAACCCTGGATCGTCAATGTCCGCCAGTTGCTCACCCACTGTGCGTGGCCTCTCGCCGGGGGCGAAGCGGGGGAGGAGGTGGGTCATAAAAACCTCCATCGCGATGCTCCCTGCTCGCCCCTTTTTATGCTGCCTCCGCCGAGGAATCCCGTCCCACACTCCCCGCCCCCGGTCCCTCCCCCCTCCCCCCTTTCACCGGAGCGGCACGGCGCTCAGAGTTGTAAAAATAAACCACCCCAGCAGCACATCACACGCGCTCCAGCTCCGGGTCGCGTCGGCCGAGGACGGTGAAAAGTGACTCGGGGTCAGTGGCGATCCAGCAAGTTGGCAACACTGTTTTTCTCCATTTAAATCCATCAAAAATATCGATTTCAGCAGGGTTATGTCACAGTCAGGGAATACCGGGAAAACCGGGATATTTCAGGAAAAACCTGGAAATGTCAGGGAACATGATGAAAAAGTCAGGGCAAATGATGAAGAAGTCAGGGAAAATGATGGAAAAGTCAGGGAAAATGATGAAAAAGTCAGGGAAAATGATGAAAAAGTCAGGGAAAAATTGTTAATTCACCTTTACCTGCCTTTGAGAATGGGTTTGACGTTTTGAACAACAAATTTTGTATGAACACTATTTCAAATTATGCCTTTTTAACCATCCGGTATATCTTCAACTGTCAGGGAATTTTACGCTAAAGAGTCATGGAAATTAGGGAAATGTAAGGGAACTTCATCTTCCAAATGCGCTGTGGCAATCCTGTTTCAGGCAAGGCAAGGTGCCCCACTAGGAATCGATTATTTTACACGCATTTAAATGTGGAATCCCGGTAAAATTTGGCAGTAGGATTTTTGTTCCAAAATACCATAGACCTACAACCGGCTGTAAGATTTCCTACAGCTTCTAAAGCCGGCTATACAATTTCTTATAGCCTTTTATAGCCGATGGCGATAAAACTATAGCCAGGCGATAAACTGCTTAGCCCGGCGATAGGAACTGTAGCCCGGGTTATGTGTTTTTTTTATCGATTCGTATTAGCCCGGCTGTATGATTTTCTTCGCTTTCTACAGCCAGTTATATAATTTTCCATCGCCTCTATAGCCGGCTGTAAGAATTTCTATGGTATTTTGAAACGCAGCTCCTCTCGCCAATTTTTACCAAGGAATAATGGTGTTCCAAACTCGCAGGAATCACCACTGCTATACTAAATCGCCAATAACGTTTTGGGTAGACCTCATCAGTCGGTCACATACAGTAGATCACGTGGGCGTGTTTTTAGCAAGCCTAAGGTTAATTTGACCCAGTTGGAGCATCGAAGGGTTAATAATAATCGAACATTCACACAAGAGGTTGTTTGAGAAATGACTTCCCTTTTTCGTTTATGCCACATACA